ACATGTAGTTTAGATGCTACAGTACAGCTTTATCATGTCTAACGCAACTTCCAGCCAGTTTTATTCTGCGGATCCAATGTTCGTATAATGACTGGCACTAAACCTTAGTCCAGCTACTCAGGAGCGAGTTTTTCTCCACGCCAGGCTTATTCTAAACATTCGTTTGCAGCATCTATTAATTTTTTCTTAAAAGACTTACTAAGGGCCATGTTTCACCACCGTATAACAAAATGGTTTTTACAGTGACGATAAAAAGAAAAATGCTCTTGAATCTCTGTGCATGGGAAACTTGACTGCTTCAAGTTGTTTCATAGACGAAGACCTTCTAACTCTACAGTTCACCAAAATGTCTGCTATATTCCTCAGGTTCAAGGCTATTTTGGCTGCTATCGCCAGGGACATCAAGAGAGAGGACAAGACGCAGCGTTCCATATAACCCAGTGGGTTATATGCCTTTTTCAGTGTGTGTGTGTTTGTGTTCATGCGTTAATACAAATGATAAGGTCCCTTTTGCCCACTAGCGACTTCATTCAGAATTGCAGTTCTCTTTACCTTTCTTTCATTGTGAACCTGACTCCGGCGCGGACCCCATAACTCATACGGATGATCCAATGGGTGCGCAGTGGGAATAGATACCTATTTGGCGATGTGTACATGGCTCTTGATTTTTTTGTACAAGTACCTTGGTACAATAATTTATGCAAAATTTCATGACGTTTTTTTAAAATTCAAATTACACCCCTTTTCTTAAAAACGTTGTTCCCACTCCCTAACGATTGAATGTACAGCGCTAATATTTGGATGAAATATAGATAATATTGATTTAGTTCAACGTACGGCAGAATCTTAAGATATCTTTTAAAACTGAAAAACATGAGAGGGGCGAAGAAAGCTCGCTTTGCTAACTTAAAGCTTTTCTCGTCAAGGACACGCTGTTTGGGGGATAGGACGAGGCTCTAGAAGTCGTACTTGTCAGCCACCTGTCGGATATGACACAATAAAGAGTACGAAAGGAGCCAGGTGATGGCGACTCCGGGCAAGAGCAAAGTTCACAGTTTATGTGTAAGGGCCTACCTTCGGCTTGTTGAAACCGCACTAGAGTACTTCGGTAGCCTTCCGAATGAAACTTGGGAGAGTTTAGGCCCCCGAAGACCGGCGACTCCCGCGGTTTTGCGTAGAATATTCGCCAGCATGTTCCCAGCCAGATTTCACGCACTGAACCCTGAACCAGTTCAACAAAGTGGCTGTCCTTGAACTTTTGAACTTTACATTTGCATCGGTTGTACAAACGGACATGCCGTGTGCAGAATAACAAATCAAAAACAAACTAGAATTCGGCGATCGCTTACCTCCATGACATGTTTAGTGCCTTCGTACTTGTGCATGGTGATGACCACCTGTTTGGTTTATATTTACAATCCTGCTCATAATCAAAATTTTCATACAAATTATTTACATACATGTAGCTCCTACCTAGTAACATGCAACACACTTATGAAATCCTGATTATCTGGCCTGGACAAGGTATGATATTGTTGGTTATATGCAAGCACGACCTCTGACATACATTTGCCAAATCATGTTAACCGTCCAAACTGACTAGTTATACATTTTTCACTGCAATTATGCAAATCATAAGAGCCACATTTGCATATACAGATAGCCGGCATTGGCTTTTCAAATAAGGGGCGCTATAAAGTACGGCGTCAATGGGAAACGGTTTGGGTTTTACAATTTTTATTGGTTGGCTGGATTTTTCTAATAAGCGTTTTTTATTATTTCATTTGATCATATTCTCAACTCAATTGCAGATTTGCAGTTCCCATCCTGCAAAATATAAAGCTTCACAGAGAATTGCCTATGGACACTTGTTTAATAATCTTAAAAAAAAACAGTGTAAAACATATAGCATCTTGAGAAACAGTTTGAACTTTGACAAATACAGCTAAAATTTAACAATCATATTTGTGCATTGTTTTATTTACCAAAGTACCTAATATGCAAACAACAAAAATACCTGTCACTTAATACCTTTCCTGAAAAAATTCAATAACAAATAATAGAATGTGAAGTAGTTCTACTACAATGACTGTGAAACATTGGTACTTTTCACACCTCTGTTGAGAAGGTGAGCAGTTGAGATTTTACACTGAGTGTACTTTTTTCTGGTCTAGCTTGTCCTAACTACGGCCACACTGACTTCATTTCATGGATGACATCCTCTGAAGATCCCCAAAACTAGTGCACACAAGTAAATAAAGAAAATTCCAGCCAAAAAAATGCTGCTAAACCACAGGAATACAAAGCTTTTGTGAATTTACGTTAGTACATAATGGCCTTTAAGGCAAGCCGGCTCAAGCTGGCCTTTTGCAGCATTTATGAGTCTGCACAGTGCTACTGTACTGAATTCTGGAGTTCTGTGGAACCTCCACAGCCTGGGTGCCGTAGTTACCACCAGCTCCCTATTGTCGCTAGCGACCATGGGCTACAGAGGATGTCACCCAGGCCAGAACCTCGGAGGACGTGATTTTTTTTACAACAGGCGAAAATCAATGCGTGTGTGAACGTCATCCATAAAATTTAATCAGTGTGGCCTTACAATGCTCCAAACGAGTTGACTATTCAAACTTCTACAATTTATCCCAATTTTACTAAACTTACAGACAAAGAAAAAACTATTCTTCTTTTAACTTCCCAAAACCCACTAATTTTGAAAAAGGTGGGACATTACGTCTTCCATGGTTTACAAAAGAGAAGTCAAACCCTTCAGATATAGGTTTAGACATAGCTATTGTTTTATTCAACTATTTTTTTTTTCATTATGTAGATATTAGTTATTGTATAATCTGTTTCAATATTGTTGTATGTTTATGAGTTGAAATTAGCCTCCGGGCACGAATGCGCAATAAACTTCTGGTTTATAATGAATGATGAGTGATACTGGTGATGCTACTGCGTATGATGGATGTCTTCTGTACTGGAGATCTGCTGTAGATGACTGGACAGTTGTTGTAGAGGAGACAGTAACAGCTGGCTAGTCTGACCAGCTTCAGCAGACAGGATTGACACCACTTCACCACGGCACTGTTCCATGGACGGCAGCTGGGCATAGTGTTCCATGTCTGACTTGGACATCAATAGGCCATCAACAAGTCCTCCTGAATAAGACATAGAACAGAAACATTATACTACTCATTCTATCCAGGTGCAGGGTTTTCTATAGATGGATCATTGGGAGGTACAGTATAAAGCTTCTTGGACAGTAACATAGTGTAGATTCAAAAATGGTTTAAATATGGTTGTTAATCCTTATCATCTTCCATAACTACCGGTATACAGTTATATACCATTTGTAATCCTACAAAACCAGCATACATTGCAGTATAAATTATAATATATGTCTCGTCCTACGTACAGGGAGTCAACCCAACCCTGCCATGCTGGTTACAAATAAACTATTTAATTGATTGATTGATTGATTGGTTGGTTGGTTAATTGATTGATTGATTGATTGGTTGGTTGGTTGATTGATTGATTGATTGATTGATTGATTGATTGATTGATTGATTGATTGATTGATTGATTGATTGATTGATGCGACTGGTGACTCTACAACACAGGGAACTGATCCTCAGCACATGGAGGAAACTACAGGCAGACAAGAAGAAGGGGTATGCGGTACACGAACACTTGCCACGTCCACTCCAGCAAGCAAGAGCCAAACTGATGGCAGACAGAGACACTGAGATTGACAAGGCTAAGTCAGAGAACAAGGAGGCCAGAGTCTTCATCAGAGTACCACCAAAGGACACTTGTTGTGCAATCCTTGTAGTCAATGGGAAAACTCTGAAAACAGTGGACGCTGTAGATCTTAAGTATTTTGGTGAAGTATAACTGTGCAGGCATTTTCTGGTCACTTATTGCCAGACAATTGCAACACTGTTCTATTAAGATAGGGTCAAATAGTAATATTCTTAACCCAGGCACTTCAATCAGCAGCCAAAGTTTAGTGCTATTTCATCCATTTTTACAATCATGATTCTACATGAAATTCCAGCAGTAATGCCTGTATAACATGACTTTCATTTGTAATTACTCTGAATAAACATTAGGCCACACCGACTTTAATATCTTATGGATGACATCCTCTAGTGCGCGCGGACGAATAAAAAAATTCTGGCCAAAAATAAAAATGCTACTAAAGCACAGAAATACAAAGCTTGTATTGTGAATTAGCGTACGTACATGTATGCGACAAGCCAGCACAAGCCAGCTTCTTGCGGCATTTATGAATCGGCACTGTAGGCATGTACTGAGTTCTTGAGTCTTGGAGCTTTGGTAGCCTGGGTACCCGGCTCCGTATTGTTGCTAACTACCATGGACTACTCAGGCCTAGAGCCAGGACAGAGCCTCGGTGGACGTGATTTTTTTTTGAGAACAGGCAAAAATCAATGCACGTGCGGATGTCATCCATAAAATTAAGTCAGTGTGGCCTAACGGATGCTACACAACAGACTTAATACACAGGTGCATCATTTCTTTTCTTAGCATAATGCTGACTATTTTCTTCAAACTATTCTTTAAAGCATCCACTAAAGCTATCATAGTATTTTATCGAACTAAAAGGCGCACAAAATCTTTTGATTAGTGATTTCCTACAAATTCCATTATGATTCTTGTGCAGAATATGGTGTTGGAAGGGTTTATCTAATAGTATCAACATTTACTCTTCTCATATCATCAAAATATGACAAGGAAACAAATCAACAGCAAATCTGGTTTTCCTTTTACTCCAGGAAAAGGGACAGAGATGTAGAGGGTCTGGATGCTACATGCTAGATAGATGTGGCTCAAACAGACTTGTACTTTATTTTTACAGCAGCTAATCTAGCTAAAGAAAACATCCTAGAATACTAACCAGCAGTGAAACATATTCATTTATGCTAGGGTTCCATGGGTAAATAATTTAGAAAGTAATGTGGGTTAGTTGGGGTACTTACCTATTAAGTTAACTTGGGGTGTGACCTTTAAGACCTTCAGTAGTTGTGTAACCTGGGGCTTCAGGCTGTGTGCGTACAGGTTCTTCCCAACCATCAATGTAGTCAAGGTACTGTACGGGGTGTTTTGTACAGCAAGGCCTGGAAAAAAAATTATTTGTAACAGGAATTACATAGACTAAACAGTCTAAAGTGTTGGTTCAAGACATGCAGGGCTCTGTGGCATTCACACAATGTGTCTGATGTATGCATATGATTATATGGGGCCTTGTAAAAAAAGTGTTGTGTTTCCTGTTTTTCCCGACGGACCTTATAAATTAGAAAAAAACTGCTGACCCCTGAGTCTTTTCTGGTGTGGACCCTGCAAGGGACATAAATGTGTAGCTCCATGATTTGGCATCTGAGTGAAGGTACGTAGTACAATCAGTTTTCCAACATTGACGTTAAAAATTGAAAGGCAAGTTGTACTGTGTTACCTGTTAACTGTATTGCATAACTTGAATTACTAGAGATCACCAAAGTCTACCGACCCTAATTTCTTTAAGAACTGAAACAGGAAACACAACATTTTGGCCTAACCAGTTCAACCAAGAGCCTGCACGGCTATTTTAGTGTTGTGCTGAAGGTCAGTTTTACAAACTGATCAAAACAGGATGCAAGAATCACTGGACTACTGATATAAGTAGGTCGAGAGATAAATACCATGAGGTACATACATGGATATTAGGGCCACACCAATTTAATTTTGTTGTTTCTCGGACTTTTTCGGAAAAAAATCAGGAGCAACAGGGCGAAAAAAAAAAAACAGGCCGGAAATGTTACAACATGAGCCATGAAGTGAACATACCACTGGCTGGTTTATAATTAAAACAATAGAATTTGAACTTGTAATGAAACAAAATTGGAGATGGGGTTTTGTGCTCGTGAAAAACTTGCGCGTGAAGAATCTGCGCGTGAAGATATGCAAATTAGCTGACTCCCAAGAGATTTGAAAACTTTTTGCTGTTTTAAGCTTAAAAGTTGGAAAAAAGACAAGAAAATAAAAATCTAACATCATTTTGCTTGCATTCTAGACTACATACCCTTGTTTTGTCCATTTTTTTGTGATTTCAGGTTATTTTGAAAGGTAAAGTTTTCACGCGCAAAAAAGGTTGAAATTTGCGCGTGAAAGAAATTTGTTTAAGAAAGCATGAAATCAAACTTCTAGAATGGAGAAAAGCTTCAGATTGTTACATTTTACCATTCTAAACCTCATACTAGTAACTTTTCCATGTATTTCTTACAAATTCAAGTGATTTTCAAAAGGTCAGGTTTTATGGAAATTATGCAAATTAGCTTATTCCCAAGGGACCAACATTTTGAAACAAAAATTTTGGCTAACAGAGGGAAAATTATACCAGAGGACAACATTTTCCTGCCTAAGAATTTGGTACTGCATATTTTCTAACATATTTCTAAGACTTTTATTTTGCACGCGCAAATTTTTCACACGCAAGTTTTTCACGCGCAAATTCTTCACGCGCAGAAAACCCGTTCCCCAAAATTGCATTGTTACATTGAAAAACTTAAGAACTAGGAAGACCTTTTTTAACCGTTGGGGCCATTGAGCATTTTGCAGTAAATTTCTTTTTTGCAAATCAGAAAAAAATGGACAAGGCGATCCGAGAAGCAACAAATTAAATTGGTGTGGCCTCAGGTCTAACTCTAAGGATTTCTATGAGGTGCCCTGGGCATACACGTCTCATCAAGACCTGCATGTACCCACCTAACAAATATCAAGAAAATCCATCTACTGGAAAGCCTTCTTAAGTTATCCTGTTGACATACAGAGAGACATACACATGATCGTTTCCAAAAACTACTCTCCAAGCAGAGGTTTGGGTTTTGGCAGCTTATTTTTGGCGTGTTTTTAGGCTTTTCTAACAGACTTTGTTTTTTGCGATGGTACACGGCGGTCTGTCACCATGGTATTCTTTCCCATTGCTAGGCGCGTTCTAAAAAGTATTGGGTTACAAGACGCTATTTTGGCCTATAACACAGTTCGGGTTCTATGACACGTGGGAACTTTGCAGCCCAGATTTTACCACGGTGTGACCGTGGTATTAAAAGAAACAAGTGCAAAAAAGAAAGCCTGATAAAAAAGCTTTTAAACACTAAGATATAAAAACCAAAAATAAGCCAAAACCCAAACCTCTGCTTGGAGAGTAGCTGAAAACATATTCTGGACCTTCTTGGTAATAAAGTCTTGTTGGGGTCGTGTGGCGTCACGGCAAAGTACTCGACTTGGAACCCTGAGGTCCCGGTTTCGAGTCCTGACATGCCACCAATATTGTGCCCTTGGGAAAGGCACTTTACACGACCTTACTCACTTAATACTCAAGTGAAAATGAGTATTGTCCTGTCCTGTATTCGTCCTCTGCGTTGGTGACGGTATAAAATAAGTTGAGTGTGCCGTCACCATGTCTAGTCATTAAATGTTGGAATAAAAAAAATAAAATAAAGTCTTACCGGCAACAGTATTGGACCAGAACCGTACAGTGATGTCACTTTCTTTCAGTTTGGCACAGAAAACCCTCCGGTCAGGACCAGTCATGTCACTGCTGTGTAGTACTGCCACCATGCCGCTAGTCTCCAACACAGTCTGGGCCTCCTGTGCCATCAAGTCTCTTAGTGGGTTTTCCTGAAAGAAAAAATCATAGTATTCATTACAAAGATGACAATCCATAGTCATAAATTAAATGTAGACATAGGAAGATATTTACAAAATCCCCTGTGACCAGAGGTTTTGTCCATTCTATCCTAACAGGGCTGGAAATACTGGGTGCATGTGCACCTTAGTGCACCCAAAATTGGTGCTGTGCACCCAATTATTTTCTGTGGGTGCACAAATATTTTTGTAGGTATTTTTGTACATATTGAATAATAGTATGCAGGATATTCTTGGCATCTAAGCGTCAGAAAAATAATAAAATCTTTGTTGTAGTTCTCATGTAAGATTTTGAAGGTAGCTCCCATTTCAGATTCAAGCTTAGAAGAGGAGCATGAAGATCTCTATGTTTTATTTTATATGGTGCACCCAAATAAATTTTGTGGGTAGTGTTCCATTCAGTATTAAGGTAACTTGAGTTTGATCCCTCACGCACTGAGTCATACCAAAGACTTTAAAAATTGTACATACTACTTTCTCTGTTTAGCTCAACAATTGAGAAAGAGTAAGGGAGATAAACACACACCACTAGTACTACCACAGTGACTGTACCAGTGGACTAGCCCCTTGCAGTAGTGATTGTACTACTGTGTGGCTCAAGGGCTATTGAAATGGAGATGGCTTCTGCCCTATATGCATTCTTCTTCTTCTCCTTTTAACTAACTCCAAAATCAATCAATCAATCAATCAATCAATCAGTTTATGAAAACTGAAATTAAATACACTGCAACTGTTTCAAATGCTAGCCTGGTTACCAAACCTATTACTGTATAGCTCCCGAGTCCTACATCCTCTCTGCAAATACAGTAACAAGAGATCAGCACAGAGAGAACAAATGCACACTAGAAGGAAGATGAAATGCACATGAGACTAGCATCCGACTGAGATGAGCGGAAGAATAGAGACAACAAAAACAACAACAACAATACAGTAGGATGTAGGACTTGTAGGTTAAATGGTAACCTGGCTATTGTCAGAAAAATGTTGTTTAAGCATAACAATATATGTCCATGTTGGACATGGTAGAATGATTGCCCTAGAATTTATATCATAAAGTCTTGACCTGTAAAATGGTCTGTTGCATCCTTTCCAGATTCAGCCCACACTTCTCAGCCAGTGTGGTTCTGCTGTCTCGTGGTGCCTTCCATTTGGTTACTGCTAACAGCTTTGCCTTGACTATTGAGATGTGTTTCTTAGAGCGTGTGTTGATGGTCTTCCTGTAGCGGACCTGTGTCCATCTGTAGTCCAGACTGGGGCAGACTGAAAAATAGGGTCAAGAGCAATGTCAGAAGGGGTGAGAAAAAAGTCATTATTCTGTATTAGGCCACACTGACTTTTATGGATGACATCCGCGCGTGCATTGATTTTCACCTGTCGCCCTAAAAAAAAAGATCACATCCTCTGAGGCTCTGGCCTGGCTCTAGGCCTGGTTAGTCCATGGTAGTTAGCGACAACACAGAGCCGGGCACCCAGCTGCAGGCTACAGAAGCTCCAGGACTGAAGTACTAAGTACATACGTATTCAGTGCCAATTCATAAAATCCTGCATGTACTATGTACTGCCACGATTTCACAATGCCAGCTTTGTATTTCTGTGGTTTAGTAGACTGAATCATTGAAACAGTTGTAACAGTGGGAGGTTCGTAGGCACTACCAACTGACCCGTCTGACAGGTCTAGACCTTTTAGCTAATTCGGTAGGAGCGTCGGATTGTAAGCTGGTGCCCGGGGGTTGTGGGTTCGATCCCCGCCCGGGGCCAGGGGTTTTTATCTGTTTCTACTCTCCTTATTCTTACAGTGATTCCCACACCGGGAATCCATTTCTGTGATATGCTAAACTACGTCCCCACTTGTACTTTTTAGTAATACATGAGCTTGATATTTAATTTGTACCATATAGCTGATTGGTTTTTACTGTGTTTTTTTAGTAAAATGTGGACACAATTTGGGCAAGTCAGGTCCCCAAGCTAAAAGGTCCTTTCTAATAAACAATGTTACATGAACTAGAACTTCTTGAGTACTCTCTAACCACCCCTACTGGGGTATCACTGAGAGGGGGGGGGGGTGCGACGGACTATGGCTGCGCGGCCAGAAGCCCGGCCTTGAAGGCCTCCACTGTCTGGGCTTTTACAAGCTGGCCCGGTAACTTGTTCCACTCATTAATCGTTCTTGGAAAAAAAGAAAATCTAAAACAGTCTGTTTTGGCAGGTATTGCTTGATACTTATATTCATGACTTCCTCTGGTACGCCTATGGGCAGGTTTGAGGTATAGTTCCATTTGAATATTAATATGTCCATGAGCTATTTTATATAAAGATATCAAGCGAGCGGTTCTCCTTCTGTCAACAAGTAACGGCCACTGGAGGCGCTTTAGCATGTCAGAAACACTGCTGGTATAGTCATAATCACTAACAGCCATTCGCGCCGCCCTTCGTTGGACTCGCTCCAACGCCTGGGAACCACCGATGGTGTGGGGATCCCATACAGTCGCACAGTACTCCAGGTGTGGGCGTACAAGTGTTCTGTAGCATGTAGATTTGACACGAAGAGGACAGTGCGAAAGGTTACGGCGGATGACTGCCAGTATCCTATTAGCTCTACCAGTGACATAATTTATATGTGTGTCCCATTTCATATCCTGTGATAGTTGGACTCCAAGATATGGATGGGTTTTAACTCTAGTAAGATTTTCTGAACATAATCGGTATTGTGTAATAATCGGGTTACGCTTACGAGTAATATGAAGTGTGTGGCACTTTGAGGGGTTGAAGGACATTTGCCATGTGTCCTGCCACCGGGTCAGTGCATCGAGATCTTTTTGTAGATCAAGGGCATCTGAGGGTTTTTCAATAACCCGGTACAACAGGCAGTCATCGGCAAACAAACGCACACTAGAGGTCACAACACTCGGAAGATCATTGATATAAAGGAGAAACAAAAGCGGACCCAAAACAGTGCCTTGCGGTACTCCAGACACTACCTTGGCGGGCTTAGAGGCCACACCATCAAGGACAACTGATTGGGTTCTTTGAGTGAGAAAAGCTTGCAGCCATGTTAGTAATTTGCCAGAAATGCCATAGTGCTGGAGCTTATTCAGTAAGCGACTGTGGGGGACCTTATCAAAAGCTTTACTGAAATCCAGCACAATGGCGTCGACCTGCTTATTTAGGTCTAGAGTACTAGCCAAGTCATGGGTTGTCAAAAGTAGTTGACTCTCGCATGATAGTCCTCTACGAAAACCGTGCTGTGTCGAAGATAATATATTATATTTGTCAAGGTGGCTCATGGTATGGCTATGTATAATATGTTCCAAAACTTTGCTACAGACAGAGGTGAGTGACACCGGCCTGTAGTTAACAGGTGAGGTTTTATCTCCCTTCTTAAAGATGGGGCTAATATTAGCGGCTCTCCAATCTGCTGGGACGTCGCCGGTGTCTAGTGACTGCGTAAAAATAACCTGTAACACAGGTGCAATTTGGGTTGCTGTGATTTTTAATAATCTTGGTGAGAGTCCATCTGGGCCTGAGGCCTTGTTTGGATTAAGCTTAGAAAGCTGTTTAGCGACACCATTCACCGATATGTAGAGAGGTGGTGCGTGCGGAGCCACAGGTCTCCCTAGGGATGGGATGTTGGTTAGGTCCTCCTCTGTGAAGACAGAACTAAACTGATCACCCAGGGCATCTACCTTCTCCTTTGGGTCTGAAGTAAGCACACCATGATGCCTCATGGCTGCAATATTGGTATTGTCGTGTTTTAGTGCTTTTATATAACTCCAGAATGCTTTAGCTTAGGGTTGTCTTTAATGTTTTCTTCAAGGAAATTGGCGGTGTACTCTCTGTGGGCTTTTTTAACTCTACATATACAAATTTTCACAAGCTGACATATACAGTCAGTCTAAAACGAGTTTTGCAGACGTCAAAAAGTTTTTCTTTATTTTTTGGCACCTTGTACAGAACTCTTTTTCACTTTTATATTTGATATGAGTACTTCCACCATCGGCCGTTCTTAGCCGTGCACCAAGACCTCCCTCTGGACGTCTATACCCGAGAGGGTTTTGTGCCAGTATTATTAAGATTATCAAGATTAAGAAACGGCGAGCAGGTAACAATACATATCTAAAGATGCAAATAGCATAAACTTTAACGATACAAAATTGCTGTAAATACCTAAATGCCACAATTTTAGGTTTACAATATACGGTTGAGGACTATTTTGGAAGCTTTAAGTACGTGCTGGCAATGGGTCATATTTGTGACTTTGTGGCTTAAAATTAGGACAGTTCGGCACGGCCGGTCAGATTTTGGTGGACCGCTCGCCCCCCTCCCCCACCGCCGGTGCCCTTGCCTTGCCTGCCCTGCGTTAGTTACTTATTGAACCGGTATTCGTGAATGTAGACTGTGAATAGATCACGTAATATCCAACTACAATGTACGTGAACGCCAAATAACAATTTAACATCCATACCAACACGCACTGCACTTGCCGTGGACGTAATTCTGGTCAGCATGCACGCCATTTTGTAACTTGGTGGTAAGGACGGGCCGGGTCAAAGTTGACATTGACGTAATAATGTTTCGGGTCAGAGGGTTGACGGAAAATTCAGTCCAGTCTGGGAGGCGGAAAAGGCAGCCCAGTAGGCAAAAGGTCTGTAAGGGGGTTCCTAGAGCAATGCATATGCTTAATACTATATTCAGCAGGATTGCTGCATTAGGATTGCTTTCTCCAAGTAACAACAGAGGCATTCTTGGTTGTCTTCATACTACATGTACATGTAGGTAGGCCTTGATGAGACCTCGAAATTATTACATTTTGTAATTTGCATGATTTATGAGGGAATTCTATAAATCAGCTGCATTACATTAACGCTATGAGACTATTCAATCTTGTGACATATGTAATTGAGAACGACAGGGAGATATTGATTATCTAAATTAACACTTGATTTGCATAATTAACGAGAAAATGTTATAATTCCATAATGCTAACTGCCTGGAATTTCATACTTGTGGTATTTGAAAGTTAAGTGAAGGTGAACATCATAAAACATAACTTATTCAAATAAGGACCTCATTTGCATAATCCATGGTGTTTTGGAGGAAAATATGATCAACTGATATAATTCATGCAAATGAGGATCCTATTTGCATAATCAGGAGGAATAATCTTTACTTTATAAGTCATAAAGATTAACGTTAACATCATTTCGCGAAGGTATGAGATCATGCAACTCTATTATCTATTTATCTTTATTATAAGATTTGTGAAAGCATTGACAACACATACTAAGTAATTAAAAACACGTGGCCAAATATTTTGGTGCAATATTTATTCACTTCCTACCATAGGTTTACAATTTACAAGCAAGTCTTCTGCAGTCAGTCTGTGGAAAGGTTTCAATACATGTATAAGTACTAGTATATTGTTCATTTGTCACGTCGTCATTCCTGCACCTCCACCGCCAGGAGGCGCAACTAACACGTGAGACAGAACCGCGTCATACAAGCCAGCTGCGCCCCCTGGCGGTTTCAACCGTTCATCTGTGTTGGAAATCATCACATTTTATATTATCAGTCGTTGAGTCACATTACGGCAGATTGTTGAAAAATGACTTTGTAATGTTAGTATAATGAGTCTCTTATAATCTGGAGTAATTTCATGTCAATTCATTTCAAATATTTAGTTAATAGTAATCAAAATTACATGTATTAGGTATTTTATCTTACATGTAAATATATAAGGACCTGTATAGCCAAAAGCAAGTGACAGACAGACTGGGTAAATTTTGCACTGACTCTGAGAGGCAAGAATGATTGATTTCTGTAGGTCTGTTTATGGCTGATGCATAATATTCATAATGATGATAATAATAGCGTTGGCTCAATCACTATTCACGTGTTACGTTGCTCCTGCCCCTTCCAAGGTTGTTTCTGGAAATGCCCTTTCACCGCATGCGCACAGCAGCCTTGTTTTTGAAAAGTGAATTTTGCGTGATATATTTTACAATTTCAAAAGTTAATCATTTGCATATTTCTGATTGAAGGCTGTAGAAACAGAATGGATCAAGTTTACTTAGTTCATATTGAAATAGTTTTTTTTCCCTGATGTGGAACTCACAATTCTAACGTAGTTAACATTACATGTACAATACTGAACCTACTCTTAAAAATGACAATTTCTGCATCAAAAGATCACATACCAATCACGGCAATTTTCCTGGGTGCAAGATTCAGAAGCATTAAACAGCACACTTTATTTGAGAGCGAGAGAATGAGAGAGCGAGAGGGAGAGAGATCCAGAGAGGGAGAGAGAGAGAGTGTGTGTGTGCGTGTGTGTGTGTGCGTGTGCGCGTTTGTGTACGTGTGTGCGTTTGTGTACGTGTGTGCGTGTGTACGTGTGTGTGTGTGTCCGTGTGTGTGTGCGCGTGTGCGTGTGTGTGTGTGTGTGTGTGAGTGTGTGAGTGTGTGTGTGTGTGTGTGTGTGTGTGTGTGTGTGTGTGTGTGTGTGTGTAGAAATCTGTAAGAAATCTACTGCCTTCCCTCAGTAGAAGTGGAGGTACATGTATAGTCACAATAGATATGAAGAAAGACAGGTCGGTTGGGGTCTCATTTGGTGGCATCTAAACACTTTCTTTACCCATGCTTGGTGGACCGTGTGTAGCGTTTTTATTTTCAGGACCAGAAAATGAAATCCCCGCGTTGTAAACTATCTCTCGGCGGATAAAAAAAACATTATGTCAGGAACAGGAATAGGCCTATATGTTGTTACATAACCAACTCTTTCAGTGGGTACCAAACCTGCTCAATAACGTACACTCCCTAGATACTGTACCGGCGACGGTTTGCCCTGTTTGTAGACATAGATACTCCTATGTTACAGTCTTTGTCGTCCTTTTCATACTTTTCTGAGACAGATTTTGCAGTCGGGCGATGCGGGGCTTGTGTGTGTAGATATGCCATGTTTTGTCGTGTCCTTGAGGGTGTGTGTATGTGTGCAGCCTGGTACTTTACGTTTGCCTGCTGTCTGCTTGCCAATGCGGGGGGATTATTAAACATGATCTGCTCCCACATTTTCCACTGTACAAAAAAGCGATCGAGAAGAAGTTGACCTCTGTATATTAGCTCAGTGACTAGAACACTTTGTATTAGCCTAGTATAGTACCCTTGTATGTTCCTTATGTATGTATGTCTAAGTCAAGTAGTGCATCTTTTGTCTCCAATTTCCTGTACACGTTTGTTATGTGTCTGTTATATGTTGACCTGTACCTAGCCCGTCGTGGCATGAATGTACAATAAAGGTATTTCATTTCATTTCATTATTATACAGACCACTCCTGGCTCCCCGCATTCTGCCATTCCTACCAGCGAAGACCCTATCTCTAACCCTGTCCCTACTCCCTACACACACGCCATACGATCTAACGTTTGCTTTCCTCTGCCGTGTATGTATCTGTGAGAGTGATCTAGTACGAGGGACGCTGTTGCCAGGGTGATAGGTTTTGTTGTGGACTGCTGGGTCATCTTTTCTGTTATGTCACCAGGAGTGCTGGGCACGGTCTTTGTGGTCTTTTCTACACACACGGTGCCATTAGGAGTGGCAGACACGGGCGCGGTGAAGACATGTCGGTAGGTTTCCCCCCGAGCGTCCACATGACAAGTCACGTTTATCATTTCTTCATGACCAAAGGTGCTGATATTTGTACCGTGGACATCAGTATAGGACATGCTTCTATTCGCACTATCGGCTATGATGTCAGATACAACTACAGCAAAGGTTTGGGACAGGGAGTCTAGACCCATAGGAACTATCTGTAGTGCAGTGTCTCCCCCCAATGCTACTTTTACGTCACTACTAGCTTCCCAAGCCTGTGTGCACAAGTGGGTGATGTTTGAATCGTGTTTCTCTGTTTCTGTGCTGACTGACATGACCACAAATGGCAGGGCATACTGGTTTGTTGTGGTGAACTTGCGTTTTTTCCCAAGCTGGTAGCATAGACTGATATGCTCCTGGTCGGACGGACGTAAGTGTGAGGTATTGTAGTGTGTGTGAACGTGATATTGTGCTAGCTTAGGACCTTTAGTGATACAGAAAAGCAACTGGTTAACCCTAACTGCAACTCTTACGCCTGAGAATAGATAGTAGGAATAATCAAGCCGCCAGGTCAGTACCAAGTGAGCAGAGTTACCGAGAATAAGCAGTCTATTCCCGCCCAGTGCCAGCTTTGTTAACTTGAGCCTACTCATAGTCTCCGGGGACACACACGTTAACTCATTTCGGCTCAAGTCTAGCTTGATGAGCTTTTCCAGTGACTTAAATGCCTGGGGGTGAATGCTCTTGATAGAATTTGATCTCAAAGACAGGTGGGCTAAGTTCAGATTGTGAAACCAAGATGGCTCGACACTTTGCAATGCGTTATTGTCAAGTAGCAATGTTGACAGGGAAGTGAGCTTTTGGAAGCATGCTGAATCCATGCTGCTTATATCATTGTGGGAGAACGTCAGAATCCACAACAATTTCGGAGATTTTAAGCCGTCGAACCAGGCTCGTTTCACGTGAGTCAAGTTGTTGGAATCGAGCTGCAAGGATTTCAATGTAGGAAACGCGGCCAAAGTGTCCTGTTCTAAATCTGTGATCCCACATTCCACCAAAGCAAGGGTATGGATCTTTAATGAAGGAGGAAACCGTAGTTTCTGACTTGAGAGGACCCCAAATGTGAACCCCCTAACCGCCACGGTACTTTTAGGGGGAAGGCAAAGCGCGGTTGGTCGGGAGGAGTTCCTCCCACTACCCGCGGGTTGTGACTGTAGCTCCGCGGGACATAACACACACGTACCCCGTGTACGCAGACCCAAACCATGAGATTTACGAAAAGGGACGCAGTCTGTCCATTGATCAGTGTACTTGCACCCAGGAAAGCATGCCGGATCTAACCCTAAACATCCAACTACGATAGCGAGAACAGTGACAATCATCGGTGCTACTTTGAACATATTCAACAATCACTAGGTTAGCACCCAACTAGTAATGGCTAGACTTATTACAAAGACTTTTTCTCTAGTTTTGTTGTCTGCGAAGGCCGCTTTGGTTTTACCCTCTTTCGGGGTGGGTGTGCAACAGGCCGGCTGTCTCACCTGAAAAATGAACGGGAATCATTGTAATCTTTTTGTCTTATATGCAGGTTAGCATGTTACATATTCTGTCTATCGCCGGTATAGCACAATGGAAATGGCCAGGATAGCAGACAAGCTTCACAGTGCACTTTTTAGGGCTTGGAAACCAGATTTTTCAAAGTCAATATTCTAATCACTTCTCTAAATGCTAAGCTGAAACAACACTGTCCCGATGTATATCGACATTCTTGGAGCAAAAGTGCCCCAAATTCTGACGAAAAACGGTTACTGGAAGGACCTGGATTGATTTTTAGGGTACCATCCAGGACTAATAGTCTTGGAACGTGTTTCTGCAGTTTTAAATGCCTAAAAAGTATGAAATACTGATTCAAATGTGGTAATGTGGGATAGTATGTGTCAATATTATACAGATTACCTTATTTAGAATATGTACAGTTTTGCCGCCCTGAAATTGCATTGGACAGACTTACCCTAGTCAGCGGTGTCGTCGTACCCCGGTCCGCGGCCACCGTAGTGCGCGGTCCCGGCGTGCCCCGCTCCGCTTACCCGGCAGTCGTCCGGAGGTTTGGCCGGTGGGTGGCCGACTGGCGGGGCGTCACCCCACTGTTAAAAAAGTTAACTAGAGTTCCACGATCTCATACCTTCGCCAAATTAGGTTAGCCTTTATGGCTAAGAAATTATAGATTAATTACTGATTGTGCAAATAGGATCCTATATTGCATCAATTATATCTGTAGATCATATTCTACACCAGAAGACAGTCTTATCTTATCAAAGAATGCCATTATAGTATTTCCTCATAAATTATGCAAATGAGGTCCTTATTTGAATAAGTTATGTTTAATTATGTTCACCTTTACATAACTTTCAAATATCCCAAGTATGAAATTCCAGGCAGTTACCAATTATAACATTTTCTCATTAATTATGCAAATTAAGTCCTCATTTGCATAATTGATATCTGCCTGTATTTCTGCCGTTCTCAATTATGTATGACACATGCTTGAATAGTCCTATCATGGAATGCAGCTGATTAATAGACTTTCCTCATTAATTATGCAAATTACATTAATATTTGCATAATTGTAATATCATTATGTCAAGCATCACTTCAGCTACCTACATGCCAAAAATCACGACGATCCATCCACCGGTTATTGAGTTATCAGCCTTTAAACATTTTTCAACTAACGCCCCTGCAGTTCCAGAGCAAGCAGCTAGGGGGCCAAAACGCACGTCACTTCTTCCCCAGCACGAGAGCTACCTACCATGCAAATTTCGTCACCCTAGCATGTCTGGATCATGAGATATCAAAACCGGAAGTTCAGCTGCAGTACCATAACAAGCCGCCAGGGGGCCCAAAATCTAATCAGTTCGAGCTCTCATCAAAACCTACCAACCTACCAAATATCAAGATAATCCATATAAGCTTTCTCGAGTTATGCTGTTGACAGACACACACACACACACACACGGCCACGAAAACATAACCTTCTCCAATTCTTGGCGAAGGTAATTAGCTCTTATAATTAGTTCTCATGCGAAAAAGCATTATCATCATCTTATAACCAGAACTTTGTCACGTTTCTAAAAGTTTACAACAAAGAAATTACCTTTGAGCGTAATTGTTCTTAGAATTTGTACTGTTAAACCAAGGACGTTCTATCACTTGTAGAACGTTCTTGGTTGAACAAGCAAATTTTAATATTGTATGATCACAACTGTAAATGTATAATCATTTATAGACTGATACCTCTGTAAATACATGTAGCCTCACAATTCAACCCTCCACAGCTACCAGGAGACATTAATATCTTTTGCTAAGATCTACTAACTTAAAACCAGTCAATTACTATTTCTACTTCTCTTCTTGGCTTGGCCTCGTTTCGTTTCCGAAGAAAATATTGTATAAACTTCATGCACAAAACGAATCGAAGACTAGACAAGACTTGAACTGATCGTTACACTGCGTCAGGCGTACGTTTAGCAGCATTACAAAAACTTTCTTTATTCTGTTTGATTCATAAAATGTCAGAACATTGTCAGAAAGAAAAAAAAATGTTCTGTCGTTTTCCCGTACATTCATATTTTACTGTGCGGCCACATTCCGTAGAATTTCCTTGCAGGATGCGATAGAACTCATGCCCGTAGCCAGGGGGGAGGGGGGTGGGGGGTTCGGAAGAACCTCTCCACAAGGCTCAAAGGTCCACTTTTTGGTCCACTTTTTATGTAAAGGTTTACTTTTTGGTCCACTTTTCATGCAAAGGTCCAAGATTTTTCTGGAAAAGATGGACTGGAATCGTAGAAAAACTGCTTCTTTTGTCATTGAATAAAAATGTATGTCTGATTTTTTATTGGAAATCCTCTCAAAAATGCACGAAATGCCATTTTAGAAGGTTCATTTTTCAAAATTTTCCGGGGGAGCATGCCCCCGGACCCCCCTATGATGGCGCTCGAGGTCCCCTCAAGCAGTGGGAAGAAGCCACCCATTCAACATCCTGGCTACGGGCATGGAACTAACCGTCGACAAGGACAAAATGCATCCTTTTCTGTAACAACACAGCTGAATTTTGTTATATGGCACATGCACGGCTATCCTAAGAATGCTCTCAATTTGCGATCGCACGACCCATGTAACCAGGCCCTTACAAAGAGCAAAGAATAGAGCAGGCCAATACAAGGAATACATCAACTTAGCTAAGATACCGTGGCCGACAGGCACAAATTATAACTCTGTTGAACTACAACATCTAACGGTTCTGATGTATATCAGGGTCAGAAAGTAACACGTACTGACTTTTTATTTATTTATTTTTTTCCGACCCTTTTATATAGAATCCCTAGATGCTATACAACAGTGTTACAATATTTTGTACCTGTCGGCCACGGTACTGAAGAGTACGTTAGGAGCGGGGTGAGAAGGTAATAGTTACCGGCGGCGGGGAACACTGTTCCCGTCCACCTGCTCCCGAGCGTACGGCAGATGGGCTGCGTGCCGGCAGGAACAGCCCGGAAAACGGCCAGCAGTCGCTGAAAATAGTGTAGGAACAAAAATTAGTTCAGCCCACTTAACCACGTTCAATCTAACCATGTTAAAACGGAGACTGAGATGCGACGTAAGACTAAATAATGTGTATCTACTAGGCTTGTGTCCAAAATAAAATCACACTTTTATTAGTTGGGAAAGTTAATGGCATATGCATCCAATGCAATTTCAGGCGGAAAAATAAGAAAAATTATGGATGAGAAAATCTGATATTGATATTTACTGTCATTTCTTAGCACATTTTCGCTATCATTTCATACCTGAAGCATTTGAAAAAGCCCCTAACAAGCTTAAGCTACGCGATGAGTCCGTTATTTTTGGTACCACCAATAAATAGCTAGAACCAGCATACAAAACAAAAACAAGCAACCCCGTCATTTTCTTGCCTCACAATTATCAGTATGCTATGGAATATGGTCACTTTAACTTACTACAGTAAAAGAATAACCAGAAAATCCAGATTAAAATAGAATTAATGCCCTGAATTGCTTTGTGTGCGTATATCATTGTCGACGGCTGGTTACTTCGTAGCCTTGCAGAAATTTGAAAATTTAAATCCTACCACAAAAACAAAATCGTACGCCGAGTGTGGCTAACTGTTCTAACTTACCGATGGATCAGACGGCGGCGGTTGTCCGTCCTCATTTTCGCATCTTGTGTTGGCTGGGCGGGAAAAACGGGCGAGTTGTCGTCTCTGCTCTCTCCTCGGCAGGTCTCTGATTTTGTTCTGAACAGGCGATCCTCACTTCTCGGTCTGTAGCCATGGTAACGGCTATCCAGCCGTCAGTCACACGGTGTGCTATGTCGCGTACGCGGCGGGAAAGTTTGGCATTCATTTGAGAAAATGCTTCACATGACTGTCAGGACGTTATCGGTGTGTTTCTTAATCAGGCGGCTCTCTGTACGTAGTTTGATGTTAATTCATGAGGGACCAAAGGACAGAGGGATGGAGAGAGAATGTTATGAACATTCTGGTGTGAGTCCGGATCCCAACCACCACCAGAGACCAGGGTTGGGAGTCTGTCGTGAGTAAGGTTGGATGTGGTTGGCAGTTGGTCTGCAAGGTTGGCTACTGGTCAAAATGCGTCAGCCTATGTTTCAACGCAAACACACACACACACACACACACACACACACACACACACACAAATTTGAGACAAATTTAACTCAAATTTGATTAAATTCGTGTAGAAAAACAGGCGTAGCCTAAATCTGGTTAAACTGCACCCGAACTTCAGCCAACCTTGGTTGGTTTGTGGTCGAGGGGAATTCCAAGTTGCTGAGTGTGTGACAGGGGCTTCAGCTACATACTGGTGTTCTGCACAAGGATACTAAAACATACCCTCAAAGCAGAGGTTGATGGTCTACTCAACTATGTGTAAATGTAGTTCAGCACCAAGGACAGATCTGTTCACATATGTGTGAATGTAAGTCAGCACCAAGGACAGATCTGTTCACATATGCGTGAATGTAAGTCAGCACCAAGGACAGGTCTGTTCACATATGCGTGAATGTAAGTCAGCACCAAGGACAGGTCTGTTCACATATGCGTGAATGTAAGTCAGCACCAAGGACAGGTCTGTTCACATATGCGTGAATGTAAGTCAGCACCAAGGACAGGTCTGTTCACATATGCGTGAATGTAAGTCAGCACCAAGGATAGATCTGTCCACATATGCGTGAATGTAAGTCAGCACCAAGGACAGATCTGTTCACACATGCGTGAATGTAAGTCAGCACCAAGGACAGGTCTGTCCACATATGCGTGAATGTAAGTCAGCACCAAGGACAGGTGTGTTCACATATGCGTGAATGTAAGTCAGCACCAATGACAGGTCTGTTCACACATGCGTGAATGTAAGTCAGCACCAAGGACAGGTCTGTTCACATATGCGTGAATGTAAGTCAGCACCAAGGACAGATCTGCCGGGAAAGATAGTTACCTTTTTATATATATATCCCCCGTTTTGTGTCGCTACCCCCACAAAAAAAAATACAGACCATATATAAAAAGGTAACGATCTTCCCCCATCAACCTCGGCTTGGAAAGTAACGCAAACAGTTTTCCACTCAGTCAGACTATTACAACTTGATTAAACAGAAGAATCTCAGTGCGCAACAAATTTCGTGACAAAGCATGAATGGCTTGTTCGCCAGGAATTCACCAGTCGAGCATCAAAGAACTTCAATCTCAGCAAAAAATGGTGAAAATGCCTGGTGTAAAATGGGTGTTATTAAAGACGTAATTGTCTGGATTACGGGGTGTTTTGTTGCTGCACACGTGCCTTCCTACGTGTGTTATTACCTTCGCCAAGAAGGTTATGTTTTCATCGACGTTCGTCTATGTGTCTGTAAACACGATAACTCGAGAAGGCTTACATGGATTGTCTTCATATTTGGTAGGTGGGTAGGTCTTGAGGAGAGCTCGAAATGATTAAATTTTTTGGGGCCCCTGGCGGCTTGTTATGGTACTGCAGCGGAACTTCCGGTTTTGATATCTCATGATCTGGACATGCTAGGGCCACGGAATTTGAGTGGTAGGTAGCTCTTGTGCTGGGGAAAAAGTGACGTAGGTTTGGTCCCCCTAGCGGCTTGCTCAGGAACTGCTGTATGTAATTTGCATAATTTATGAGGCAATTCTATAAATCAGCTACATTGCATTATAGGATTATTCAAGCTTGTGACATGTAATTGAGAACGAAACACGGGCAGATATTGGTTATGTAAATTAACACTTAATTTGCATAATTGATGAGAAAATGTTATAATTCCATAATGGTAACTGCGGCCTGGAATTTCATACTTGGGGTATTTGAAAGTTAAGTGAAGGTGAACATCATTAAGCGTAACTTATTTAAATAAGGACCTCATTTGCATAATTTATGGGGAAATGCTCAAATGGCTACAGTAAGGCTGTCTTTTGGTGGAGAATATGATCAATTGATATAATTTATGCTTCTATTTGCATAATCAGGAGGAATAATCTTTATTTTGTCAGTCATAAACATCATTTGCCGAAGGTATGAGATTGTGGAACTCTAGTTTGCCATACAATGTACCTGTTACAATCGTTGTGTAATTAAACTTTGACTTGACTTAACTTGACTTGCAAGGACGGTCACATATAGACTTGTAATGTCACACACAAGAAAGAACTCCAATCACAGTAACCGACCATCAATTTGCAAATAAATGATTTTATTCAACCTAAAACCTGCAACACTATGTACTATGATAATGAGTTTTCCACAAATGGTGATTAAGTATAAAATACATACATGTACATGTAAATATCGACTATGAAAAGCTAACTACTGCTTGATGATACAAGTTCTCCAAATCACCAGTGAGGACTACAAGCAAAACGTAACTACAGAATGATGTACTATTTTCTCACTGAACCTCCTCCTGCACCTCCTCCTGTGTTTCCACTCTTACAGGATGTCACCTGTTCTAGCTACATTTTGTACATGTACCAATGTGTTCAGCTGCGCTTCCAAACAAAGCTCATAAAATATGTGTATACATGTATGTGTATATGCATGGGGTTATATGATTGTTCCAAGAAAATAACAGTATAACCAAGGACAATATACCTCTGTATAATGTCCTTGGTATAACCAACAATTGTGACAATGTATGGTGTAATATTCTAATAACCAATGATCTGCCTTCCTGAAGCAAACTTAACACAAACTTTTAAGAGTTTGATAAATATATATCATAAGAGGCATGTATATGTATACTGTATACCTCCATAAATTCATGTTGAGGTACTATATTCTGCTCTTTGCTATTCTATTCTGAATGGAAGCTTGACATAGCAGATACAGATACGTTTATATATATGGCTTATATCCAAACGACTGGTACACATTCATAAGGCTCTGTAAATGCTTTGAGAAATCTAAAGTAATAAGAAAAGAATGACAAGATAATATTTATACACTATACATTATTCTAACACCACTTCAAAATTTCCTGACTTTTTCCTCCTAACACCACCCACGAAGATAGCCTGGGTGCCATGAAAAAAGATGTGTAAATAAAAATTTTTTCAACCAAATATTTCGTATATCTTGGTAGTCCTTCAGTATTGTATTCCAAAAAAAAACCAACTCTACTTCTATACTGGGTAAACTAAACTGCATAATATTTTTGGGTCTACATTTCTTTCCAAGACAAAAACATGATTGTATGTAACGTAGAAAATGTACTCGCTTCTCTCCTATTAGAACAAGAATGCTCTGATCTAAAAAACCTGTTCACTGCATGAATAAGTGGCACTTATATAAATATTTATTAAGTGCAGTGTCACTTACAGTATGACTGTGGTAACTCTGCACCATAATATATGTACCTGACACTGTATACATCATATATGGAGATATCTCTGCATTCAAGCATACAGAGGTTCAGAAACTGAAATTATTTTGGTCTGCAAAATTTTCTTCTTGCTCTCTAGATCTGCTTTGGTCCACAGTGACTGGTAAAACTAAATTTCATCTAACAACAATAATGTGTTATTTTAACCATACAGGCATTGACAGTGAGAAGGATAATTGCGACATTACACACACTACAAACTACATTTAAATCAAGGTATATGTACTGTTTTACATTTATTGCTAGGTGGAAATTACCATGCTATAGCCATGCTGGTATATTTGGAACTCATACACTTCACTACATGTGTATACTCATGTGTACTGTCTTGTACATACTCATCAGCAATCAATACCAAGTTAAAGGATTATAGACTAATAACACGATATAATAAGGAACGTAAAATCTTTTACAACACCGAGTCTAGGCAGACATACTGGGGACACCTCATGGGGTGATAGATTTAGCTCCCTTTCCACACAGGCCAATATTTGCGGGATGTAATATTTCCCTAAAAACACACAAGTCCAATCACTTGAGTGTAGTAACTTCTTCATGTTGTTATTGCATGGTTGTAATGTTTAATAGGCACTTTGCATCAGACAAGTGGTTAGGCCCAAGTATTAATACTTCCACCACAAATATCTCAAACTACTTAATTGCCAAGAAAACCATTGTGGAGAAAATCTAATCAATTTGAATTGCACTGTGATACCAAAAATTGAATCTGTTTGATAAAGTCTGAAACAATGGTAAAACTGGTTCCATACGTTGATAAAGGTTGGACATCCAGGTGATACGGTACGCCAAAAAGCAGTTACTCAAGCAATTGGATATTATGATTTTGAAAACATCATTGGTTCAATGTTCTGAACATGTTAAGAATGTTCTTATCATATAGATGGGGTACCATCACTGCTCCTTTTGTTTAGAATGACAGACTTAAAAAAAAAAAGACATCATTGCAGTACACAACAGCCATTTCACCAAACTGGTCACATTTTCATTCATTGTAATTCCTGCTGCCACATACATGTATAGCCTGGTATCCAGTCTATCATGGTTGGGCCAGGCTGTCCCAAGCTCAAATGACCGCTCAGTAGGAGTGTTTGCCTGTTTTGCACGCCAGCAGTTGACTAGCCCCACCATGTGTTAACTTTTATCATGAAAACCTACTAGGGAACCTAGCTAAGTCGGGCGAGAAAGATCTTCTGCAAAGAAAATCTGCCCAAACTGTAATAGACCGGACACCAGGCTACTCCCCATACTGAAACCTAGATGTTCAGCAAATCCTCCCCATCTTCCATCGGAACCTGATCCATACTGTCCTCCTGACCAGACCCTACCCTCTGTGATTCCAGCCCAGTCCTGTTTTTGGCCATGAGGGGCTTCATGCTGTTCAGGAGGCTCTGGAAGAGTTTTGGGAATAGCAGCTCCTGTGCAGCAAGCAGCTGTTTGGTACGGTGACGCTCTTTGGGAGCCTCGAAGCAGGCAGGACAGTTTTCTGGGATGATCGGAAGCTTTACCTACAATATTTAAAAAATGGAGACTTTCAATTCATAACACCAAATAGATGAAGTGAAATGTATCAAGTTTATCAATGTGTCACACACGACATGTACAATATGAACTTTAAATGTCCTGGTTCAATTGACACCACATTACTCTGATGATCTGCCAGTTTACTATTGACAAGAATTAAGATAGTGGTTTAATAAACCACTATCTTAATTATATATACACTCAGTCAAACCTGTCTATTGAGTGGTGACTCAAGGGACTGGCCAAATCTGACCACAATGGCCAGGTGACCACTATAGAGAAACAGCCAGTTAGTATATATTATGTAGTTTAAAGATTCATCCATTTATCTACTAGTACATTGTAGCTCAATCAAGGTAAGGCCTTGAAAAAAAATGTTGTGTTTCCTGTTTCAGACCTTCAAGAAATTAGGGTTGGTAGGTAGGGATTATCTTTTTTTTCTCTCTTTTTTAGACTTTGGTGATCTCTAGTGATCCAACATATACGGTACAGGTTAACAATTAGTAAAACTTGCATGAGTACACTTAGTCTTTCATTTTCAGTGTTAATGTTGAAAAACTCATTGTACGATGTTTCATGACTCAGGTGTCAGATCATGGAGCTAGAAAATTGCTAAAGGTTGATCAGCTTTATGTGCCTTGCAGGGTCCACACAAAAAAGTCTAGGGTCAGCAGTTTTTTTCTAGGGTTGGTCTGGAAACAGGAAACACAACATTTTTCCCAGGCCTAAACAAACCACAATATAAATCATTGACTGTGCAAAAGAAGTTAATTCCAATAATAGTTTTATGTATAGTTACCTGTTCTGCAAAATTGCGAAGATCTTTCTCTCTCACATACACAAAAGGCCGGATAACTCTCAAGTCCTCCTCCCTGGAAAATGGGAACTACAGGTCATTCATCTCACATTTATTGACTGAGTTCATGGGGTGACATATATGTATTTTTTTTTTTTAACCGAATTTAATGTCATTTTTCCCCAACCAGGTGTTAGACATGCCTGTATCAGGTACAAGTCTTTTTTTTAGCAAGATTTTTACGGCTGGATGCTCTTCCTAACGCCAACCCAAACCCTAGTAGGGCCTGGGAACCCTCTAACTGAGGGGGCAAATACATGTACGTGTTAAGTACCTTTCCCAAGGGCACAACATCTGGGTGCAAGTCCGGACATGTCTGGACATGTATACTACATATATTATCGAGTATAAATAAAGGCACAAACAAGCAAACATATGACAGTTCAGTAGTGATACTGCAATTTCAGCCAATAAGGATTTTAGGAACCTGACCTGACAGTGTAGTTGGCCTTCATAGTCCTCAGCAGACCGTTATGGAACGCAGACATCAGGAAGCTGGAGAAGAAGATAACAAGTAGTTGACTTTTCCTCTTGTGTTCATGGTGAGTACATGTGAAATTCTGATCTCAGGTATTCCTTAAATGATGCAAATGGTGCAAACTATTCTTCTGTAAGTCAAGACCTACACACCTATCAAATATCATTGATGACAATCTGTAGCTTCTTGAGTTATCGTTAAACACAAACATCCAAACATCCACATACAATAACAATACTTAGTTACTGTAATGTTCTGTAATGTCCAAACAAACAATACCTTCTTGGTGAACCTAAAAAAAAGCTCCTGTAGAGTACAAAATGTCCTAGTATTCAAAAGCAGAAAAAATCTATTCTTCTTGCACAATATTAGATCCCATCAATTTTCAGCTTTATTATTTACCTTTGCCTAGAAGGTTATCTTTTTCAATTGGTATACTATAGCATCTGTATGGGGTTTAGTAGGATAACTCAATACATGAAGCTTTGGAAGTTAGGTACTCATTTTCCTCTGACAGACGAAATGGGATCTACAATAACTGGAACAAAGTCAACTGTTGCTGTATCACCTTTCTGCCAAGTCGTCTAAATGTTGTCCCATGGCGAGCACGTTGTATCCCTCCCGCCGGGCACAGGCGTAGATCCGTCCTCGCTTCATGCGGGAACAGTAACTACAGATGGAGGTGCAGACAGGCATGGAGGCAGCCTGGGCCATGATTCCTGCACAAATACATACAAACATACAACATACATTAGCAGGAAACTTCATGATTGTGTGTTAGTGCAATAGTCATTATGAAATAAAGACTAACTTTACCTCCAACACTGGATTGAATAGGGATAATATTTGCCGTGGTTTTCAACTTTATTTTGCAGACGTTTTGTTTGATTTAGTTGATTGATTTTGATTTGTACACCAGCTCATTATGTACCTTTGTCATTTCTTCTTCTTCTTATTATTATTACTTTGTTTTTGTTTCCTTTTATGTGTGAGGAGAGGGCTGAGATAAGTTTTATAACTTTTGCCCAATCCTCGAAAAATAAATGTGAATAAATAAAAATAGGGAAGGAAACCAGCCCTACGCGCTATTGAAAACAACATTTTCGGCCAGTCCAATATGCCCTTAAATGTAGGGGTGCTTCTGAAATATAACATTGACCACAAAAACAGCTAATTAAAGATAAAAATAAGAATATGTGCATCATCACAGGCATGCCTGCAGACGATGTATAAAATCACATGCCGATTAAACAAAGGGAACCCTGTGTTTTAGCTGCGAACACAAAAAATAGACTGACCAGGAGGAGGGATACCGACTTCATGGAGTAATGACAGAAGGACCTGGTACTATCACTACACCTGCGCAAAGTTTCGATCGTATTTCTTATTATGCATGTAGCTTGTTGGTCTTACCTTGTTCTTCATAAAAGTAAGGCACACCAAGTTTGGACAAGTAGTTCTTCAGTGGACTGGGGTCATATGATGCAGTCTGCGGGTCAACAGTCACTGCTCCCAGGTCAAACTTGATGTTCTAAGAAGAAAACAGTAAACACGTACTGATGATACTGGCATTGTGTGCTGTGATGATTACACAACTACAGCTGGTCACCCCACAATCTTTCCAAGGCACGACGCACTTCAATACACTTCCAGCAGACCTAAGACATGCACCTACTCCATCTCAGTTTAAAGCAGGCTTGAAACATTTGTCATATGAAACTTGACCTCTGACCTCCATTCCTGATTTTCGTGATTTTGACCTTTGAACGGCTAGGACTTTGAGTATAGGACTATGACTCTGTTTTCATGCATCGGACTTTTATGTTTACTGTATGTTGTCCACTCTTGTCTTACTGTATGTAACAATGTCTTGTGTAATTTTGCTGGGCCCCCTTGGAAAACAGCTAATTTAAGCTGAATGGGGCTTCCCAGCCGTCTTAAGATGAAATAAATACAAATGGCCAAGATCTGGGGTTGGCGGAAAAACCTTTCCAGTCCAGAAGGCAGAAGACCAGGTCAAGGTTTTCTGCCAACCCTGAGGCTGGGGTTGGTGTCAGTGTACTCAGTACAGATAGTGCAAAATGGAAAGAAATATGAGGCAAAAATTTTGCAAAGCATGTTTGATAGTACAAAATGTAAGACTAAAGGACTAAAATACACACAAGTTCGTAAATGGATGCTTTGAGTAGAAAATGATGAGTTGGGCTACAAAATCAAAAGTATTGGGTATTGGCAATAAATTTATGTCATACCTGGGCATTGATAACATTCAATATGGGTGATATGGCTAGTTATTTCACGGGGTTCTATTTGGTTATCACACAGGTTTCCAAACGTTCCATAGAATGCATTTTAGAAAGACAAAAGATAATATGATATGCTAATGAGCGTCTACAAATAGCACAGAATACAACATGTACATGGAAATTACATAAATACAGTACATCTATAATTATACATTTCTACAAACAAACAATTTAGCAAACAAAGATTATAAGCCACAACTGTCACTGACCTTGCTCTTGGCAAAGAACTGGTACTGCCTGAGTGCATGGAGGAGAGAAAGAGAGTCTTTCCCGCCTGACAAGCATAACAACACCCGGTCCCCATCCCGGATCATATTGTACTCTGTCATGGCCTGTACAATACACAGGAGGCATCAAAAATTAACTATCGGTAGGCACAAAAAATTTTCAATTTTCAACTTTGTCAGACCATAGTTGAAAAATAGTTTTGAGAACATTTGGTGCGAACTTGAAACACTTCATACAGTGGACGGAAAAGTTTGGCATGGAACAGCCTTTTTTGTAAAAGGGAGAGAAATGGACTGAAATATGCTGTATTTGCTCCCGCGCAAATGTGGCCTTTCTTGTATGTTGTCAATTTCACCCTAGACTTTTGCAATTTTTTTTAAATTTTGCCCTGTCCCTCTGATTTTTTTTGTGATAAACTTGACAAGTGACAAAAAAATTGGTTCCACAGTTGCAATAAGCACTTTATTATTATTAATATCAAGGTGGGCAATGTTGGCTCCATGGAATATAGGATATGCAAAAATTAATTCGTACCAATCCCAGGGCTGGACTCACAAGCCACATCAGGAGCCATTAGACCACACCAATTTAATCTGTTGGTTCTCAGATTTTTCAGAAAAAAATTGAAGCGACAGGGCGAAAAAAAAATTAGAACAGGTCTAGGCATTATAGCCCAAAATACTTAAATAGGAGCCATGAAGTCAACACAAATGGCTGGGTTAAATAATAAATTTTGAACTTTTAACCAAACCACTGCATTGATAGGTGGAAAAACCGTAACAACTAGGACAAAAAAGACTTTCCTCAACTGTTGGAGGCAAAATATGAGCATTTTTGAGTAACTGCTGATTCAGAACCAGAATCTTCTTTTTTTTGCAAATCAGCAAAAAATGTCTGAGAACCAACAAATTAAATTGGTGTGGCCTTAGTCGTTAGAGATCTCCTGAGGTGCGGATCTAGAGATATTCTCCCCAGACTGAACTGCTGACTTACCTCAATAGTCTGTTTCATTATTCTCTTCGGTGGAGAATGCCATCTTGGATTGTTTGGGTCATGTTCAATCTTGTTCTTCACCTTACTTCCTTCTGAGGAATCTTCCACATCAAACTTCGTACAGTCAGAGGTTGCAGAATCTCTTTCCCTGGGTCCCTCCTGCTGCCTGACTGCACACAGGTTTGTCCCACACAGTGTCCCTCTGGTGTCCTTCTCATCAACAGATATGCAGGCATCCTGATTTTTCATTTTAGAAGAAGCACCGTCATCATTCAAGCTTTCTTTGGTCTTCTTTTTCTCCCTTGATGTTACTAGTATTATCCTGGGGTCTATACTTGTGACATTTTTCTCAGCATCTGCAAGGAGCTCTATATCCTGCCTCCTCTTGTAGTTAGGAGTGCCTTCTTCTTTGTTTTCTTTCGAGGAGCAATTTCCAGAAACAGACTCAGCGCCGCTGTCCTGCTTCTCATTGGTGTTCTCAGCCGACCAATCACCCTGGTTGATCCTGCTGCTTCGGCTGTCTTGCTTCTCATTGGTGTTGTCAGCCGACCAATCGCCTTGGTCGATACTGCTGCTTCGTCTGTCTTGCTTCTCATTGGTGTTGTCAGCCGACCAATCGCCTTGGTCGATACTGCTGCTTCGGCTGTTTTGCTTCTCATTGGTGTTGTCAGCCGACCAATCGCCTTGGTCGATACTGCTGCTGCGGCTGCTGGGAAGGGAACCCCAGATCTCCCAGTCAGCGTTGTCCCCACTACTGTTGCTGCCTTCCAGGGTAGTCTGGAGCTTCTTCCCCCACTTGTGCAGATCTAACATGTCGATAGAGTTGCGACGTCCAAACATAGGCAGTTTCTGGCCTGGGGAACACAAAGTAGGTATTATGCCAACAAAAAGTGCAAAATGATGAAAATACAATGTATGTTATTGTTCTTTTCTGGACTTATCTGCTTTAAAGAGTTTGCTAAAGGCTATCCATCACCAAAATTCAAAACCACAGCATGTTCAGGACAAAAGATCATGTCATTGAGATCTACATGTAACTAAGTAAATCAATTTGTAATATTACACATACACACATGTCATGTAATATTTATGGGTTCACCACACCACGAAGTGGTGGTGAACCCATATTGCTTTTTCTGATGTTTCTTCTTCTTCTTCTTCTTCTCCTCCTGCCATTTTTTTTAAATGGATTCAGCTTCTTCATTTTTAGGGGCCCAAGGTCCTGAAATTTGGTATGGAGGTACAGTGGGCAAATACCCCTAGGCGTTTTTTAAATTTTTGTGATACAGGCTTTTATAATGGTTTTATTTGAGTTTTTTGGCTGTGTTATAGCAAATGTATTACTGTGTTAGTGTACCACGTTTGGGCATGAGTCATCACAATGGAATGCAGGGCATCAACCAATAGGCATGCAGCTTTCCTCTATTCTTCTTGCTGATTGGCTGTTGGGATTTAACTTAACACCTGCACAGAGCATTTCCACCTGCACAGAGCATTTCTTGCTGATTGGCTGTTGGGATTTAACTTGATTAACACCTGCACAGAGCATTTCCATACTAACAGTATGTCTGTATTCAAGTGTTTTGGTAGGTATTTCAAGCTTTCCTGCTCCAGCATTGGAATGCGGGGCATGAACGTTTTTTTTTTTATTTTGAAAATTAACAGTTTGCATTATGCAATTAAAAATCCTAACCAATAAAGTAGGGAATAGCTATCCAACTGTTGTTTTAGTTGTATGTTACTTCATATTATAGTTATATCAATGGAAATCATTGTTTTCCCTTGTGTTTCTCATTCTTTCCCTGCCATGTCGTAAAATGTGGTGAACCCATCGCTGTATTTGCTCCAAAGCAAATATTGGCCTTTCTAGTTAATTATAAGATTTTTCTTTCAACAATTAAAGAAAGCATAGATGGAATTATCTATATATTATGCCATGTTCCACCAAGAAGCACTTTTACGATCACACAGTGACGTTACGTGAATATATACAGTGGTAAGCTTAAAGACGAGATGACAGGAGTAGCAATACCAACATTTCCTGGCATCACTACTTATTGGTTGGCCTTCTTGTTCTTTTTTTTTTTGCACACTCTTGCATTAGATTTTTGGTCTCCAGAGGACATACTCCATAAAGATTACTAACTCTTGGTGTGGCCTAAACCAATTTTGTCTAACCTGTTTCAGGCAGGATGATGTCTCGTGTGCCGACTACAAAAGCAGAAGCCCTCCTCCTTCCTGGAGATGTCCCCATGACGTTGCCGCTGCCTCCGCCTGTCCCAAACGTTCCACCCCCTGTGATGAGCCCTCCACGCCCCACCAGGCCGTCACTGTTGCGCCGGTGGTTAGCGTAGGCCAGACCGGGCGTGTGGATGGTAGACAGAGAATGCCCGCTGTGACCGATGTGGCTACTGGTCATGTGACTGTTGAGGTGGCCGTCTGTGATTGGTCGGTTCAAACTACGGCTTCCACTACAAAAACAAGAGACCAGTCAACCTGAATAATTATACCGATAAATTGAGATCATGGCATCTCTTATGTACATTGTCTGTCTGAATCTCAGGACACACCAATGAATGTGATTTGTTGGTTCTTGGGTGTTTTCAGAAAAATATGAGGTGGCAGGGCAAGAAAAATAAATAATAAAGATAGGCCTATGCATCCTATGACAACAACAAAAGCTACAATGTCAACATACCAGGCCGGTTTACAATTCAAACAATGAATATCAAACTGCATCAATTTGATAGATGTTATAAAGGATTCCAGTGCAATTTCAGGGCGGCAAAACTGGAAATTAATATTCTAAATAAGGCAATTTTACCATCATCGTACTTAAGCTACTTTACTTATTAATAAGATTAGTAACATAATGGAAAGGCAATGTTTTATTTTATATGTGCAGGGAGTAGTGAAAATCGCCGACATGGCGACATGTTAACCCTGGGGAAACAAACATTCAAATAAATGAATGAAAAACAAGAATTCCATGATATCATACTTTCGCCAAATGATGTTGACTTCATACCTTTGCCAAGTTCAGATCGTGAGATATCCAAACCGGAAGTTCTGCTGCAGTACCAACAAAACCCGTTTGGGGGCTCAAAATCTAATCATTTTTAGGACTTATATCAAGACCTACCCACCTACCAAGTTTCATGACAATGCATATTAAGGTTCTTGAGTTATGCTGTTCACAGACAGACAAATGCTACTGAAAACATAACCTTCTTGGCGAAGGTAATAAATGAATGACAGTATGACCGACCTGCCCCGACGGTTGCCACTGTTCCCTCTCCAGTTCCTCAGCATGTTGAACAGGTTGAGTTTGTCCTCCTCCTCTGATATCTCATCCACATCCTCCTCCTGGGATGGTTTTAACATGGCGATGGGAGACAGACTGTCCCTGATCTCCTCTATCAGTGCAGGAGTGGTCTCCCCGTCCTCTATAGCCTCAGGCTGGGAGTACACCCTCTTCAGGGGGGTGAAAGGAGGATCTCTGCAATAGCAATATACATGATTGTACAATGTAGTTCTTAGTTGTATGGGGAGTTGGGGGACACTTGGTGGTCTAGAGGGTATAAAACATGGAGTATTGCATATTACTGAAACACAATCTTTTAATGCTTAGTGCTAAAAGTCTAATGTATTACAACTGTATACTTCTCATCACCCATCATGGTAGCTTTTAATAGCTGTTTTTCTCTCTTTTTGAAACATCTGTAAATATAATTTTTTTTATACATAATTTGTCCACTACACTTAGTAAAATGTGTTTTGCTTTTGGATAATATGTCAAAAATAACAGGTCAAAGGATGGCACTTTTGTGGGAGAATTCTGCTGTATGAAAATTTTTAACAGCTCAAGTACCCACACATTTACTGGCACTGTGACAGTCAGTCTTGTCCTGACACACAGTGCCCAAAAATGTGGATCCTGATAAAGTAAAGTGCCCCTCACCTGGTGGGCCAGTCCTTGTGAGGACTACCCAGGTAGTCTTGTGCCTCGCTGGGCAGCAGGAACCACCTCAGCCTGGCTGCCTCCTCATCAAAGGCTAGGGCCTGGTCAGGTAACTGAAGTCGGAGCTGGGGAAATCACAGAGGGCAGAGGTACATTGTACATGTAAGAGATCCACTTATAGTAGTGTCAACCTCATTAGTTTGAATAGACATACATGTACAGGTGCATGCAATTATGCGAGGTATAATAATATTATACGTTGTATATCACTCAATACAACAGGTCAGAGTGAAATAATTTGTTTTTTATGTTTCACTCTATACATTTTGGCGTTGTTGCCTTAACCAGTTGTACAGAAACTGAAGATAATTTAACTTCCAGAAAAACTCAATAAGAAAAAAGTTACTGAGAAGTTACTGTGTGGAAGAAGACACAAGAAAAAGTACAATGATGACAGTCCTTACCGATGTTGCCTTGTCAAACACCTTCCTGGCCATTTCCAGACACTCCTGAAAAGTGAAGTGGTGCACGGTGAGAAGAACATAAAGTCATAATAACAAGTTGACACATTCCATCTTTAGGCCACAGCAAGTAATTTTTATGGATAACATCAGCGCTCGCATTGATTTTTGCCTGATTTTGAAAAAAAAAAAAAAACAAGAAATTGGTCAACATGACAAAAATGGGCAAAGATGTCTAGTAACTACATGTATGAAATTCAAGACAGGAGACAATAAAAGGCTCTGATTTAATGTTTAAAATTTGTTTCTTACTTTGATGCAGTGATGTGTGATGCTGGCTGTGTATACTGTATGTATAATATTTCCACTGAATCAAAACCATTTGTACAATGATTGAGTCAAAATTTTCAAATGTAGGAACCTTGTTTTTTTTTCGGCTCATTTTTTTTTCGCCCGCTTAGATTTGGAGTCTGCGGAAGATGTCATCCATAAAATTTACTTGCTGTGGCCTTATTATCATTTACACATTTACAGGCTTAGGATTTCTAAGTGGATCTTACAAAACAATGTATACAATCTTGGTGCAAAAGGCCATTAATTTTCACTAATATTATGACTTAAGGAACATAACGTATTCATGCAGCTTCCCTTGTGAAAGACCAGTAAATGTTAGTACCTGCAGTTTCAGTTGTTAGCAAAATTCCATGAAACAAGATATTGGAGACATCAAACCTTCATGAGAGCTTTAATATGTGCCTTGTTTTATCTTGTCTCATTGATTGAAAAATGAGCATAATCTTCCTATGTATAATTTCTCTTACTTGTTGTAGGCATCCTTCCATCGTAACTTACAAAGTTAATGTTCAGGGGTTCTACTGGTACAAAATGTCATTGCAGACCAAAGATTTCTCAAAACACTCAGAGTGCATGTACATGTACATCATGTATGATGTGTGTGTAGTGGACTCACTGTGGATTTTATATGGCTTGAGGATAAGGCCACACCAATTCAATTTGTTGGTTCTCAGATTTGCCTCTTCATTTTATTTACAAAAAAAAAGATTCTGGTTCTGAATCAACTCAAAAATACTCGTTTTGCCCCCAAAAGTTGAGGAAAGTCCTTTTTGTCCTTAGGCTAGTTGTTACTGTAACAGTTTTTTTTCCATCTTTCAATGCAGTGGTTTGATTAAAAGTTCAAAATTTATTGTTTAAATTTTAACCACACTTTTGTGTTGGTTCCTACATTTAACATTTGGGGCTATATACATTTTGTAATAGGATGCCTAGACCTGTTTTAATTTTTATTTTTTTCGCCGTCGCTTCACATTTTTCTGAAAAAATCTGAGAACCAACAAATTAAATTGGTATGGCCTAAATGTACCATATGATTTCATTTTCTGACCTTGTAATTCTTGGGTAGTTTGGCCTTGGTGTTCTCTGTATCAGGCTCAGGGAAGGTCATGTGACCTGTGCTGTAGGAGATGGAGCCGAGCCACTTCCTGTCCTTAAACACCTGGTGGTTCCTGTTCTTCCACTCACCTGTGTCTGGTTTGAACAGGTACTGGACGGGTGAGAACACAGGGTGTTAATACTGTATACAAAGGATGCCGCGAAGAACTGACCGTTAAAATCACCAGGTCTCTAGAACAATCTGAACAGTACAGACATCTCCTACAGCCTTCACGAGAGGAAATAAGTGGCAGGAAAACTAGAACATCCCACAAACTGAACAGTATTTAATGTAGAACTGCATGGAAGATATCACGAAAGTGCAATACCACACATGGTACGATTGCTGAACCTGTAAAATAATCTGACCTGTAACAGTTCATTTTAACCCGCTTAAGAGGTTGTTTATGCTTTGTTAATGTATCTCGTTTGTAGATGTTTTTAAATTTGTTTGAGATAATGGTTATGCCTTTGCTTTAATGAAACTCATGGAAACAGCATGTAATTCAGCCCCTGGCTGCCAGGTGGGACTGGCCGTATAGATAAATGTATAGCATATATTTTAATAATTGAATAAACCATTATCATACAAGGTATCCATAATGACATTTAGCAAAGGGAAGGACGCTGTTACTGAGTAGAAAAGGCTGAAGGGACTGCCCACATGTACCTACATGTACAGTAAAATCATTAAATGCACTGACTGTGAGTGTACAGATTTTTTTAACATGACATTAATAATGACACTTCCTCTATGATTAAAACTTAGGACCCAGTGCTGAATGACCATTGAACTGGCTCTGCCATGCGTTCAGCACTGGTAAACTGAAAGAAGATCAGCACTTGTCCTAGGACAACGTTCCGCATCGGAATTCCAGTGCTGAGGGAGCTTTTTCCCTCAGCACTGTAACAAAGCCGTCAAGCAGTGGATTCGACTGGAATTCCAGTGCTATCTGTATCTGTAATGTATGGCTGGTATAACTGCCCTTGGGCGTAACACACCAGCTTTGCAGGCACACCGCGCGGCGACAGAAAGTGCTGACGCAGTTTTTACCAGCACTGGAACAAAAGTGGGGAAGGCATTGCTTTTGTTCATTTCCGTCTGGTCTTATGTAGCTTGTATACACTCACTTTAAAGAATTCAAGACAGGTGTGTTATGCCTAAAGGCAGTTTACCAGTTTGGCCGGGGGAAACAAAACACAAGTATGTACCTGTGGCAGGAGTTTCCAGCCATGCTCAGCTATCATGGAAACAGCTTCAAGAATGAAGTCCACACATTCATCTGTGGCAAAGTACGGCAGGTTCAGCCGAGCAAATCCTGGCCTGCAGCAAGATAACAATGCAGATTAACAAACAATTAGACCAGATACAAATAGTGTTGTGCAGTGCATACAGAAATTATACACATCTCACACGCCATTGAAGGGGTAGGTGGAAAAACATGTCCAGTCTGGGAGGCAGAAAAACCTGGCATTAACGCTGAATTCAGCAGGACTGGCAACATTCATTCCTTAATTCCTAAGGGATGGAGGACTGTCAGAAACACCAGACTATTCAGAGAGCTTCAGAATGTTCTATCCTACAACTGATTGTACATTGTGTAAGTTCTGGTACCTGACTTGGTGTACCTGTGCAAGTACATACAATGAAATTATATCATGTCCTTAGCCTATGTGGTAACTCATTCCCCCTAAAATGTGCAGCCAAACCTTCATGTTTTATCCATTTTTTCAACACACACTACAGTTACAGTAGTAAAGTGTCTTCAATAGCAGCTATTTGAACGTTCTATCATCACAAAGCCTAGATTCCATGCAGACCCTTTTTTTCAGACTCGACCGTTTTTTCTTCAGACTGGACAAGATAATGAAATTGTACACCATTTAGGCCAAACCAATTTAATTTGTTGGTTCTCATATTTGCCTCTTCATTTTTTCTTTGATTTGTAAAAAAAAAGATTCTGGTTCTGAATCAACCCCCAACAGTTGAGGAAAGTCCTTTTCTTCCTACTTGTTACGTAACTGTTTTTCCATCTATCAATGCAGTGGTTTGATTAAAAGTTCAAAATACATTTAAATTTTACCCCAGCCTTTTGTGCATGTTGACTAAATGGCTCCTATAATTGAAGCACTTACGGCTACATGTATAATAGGATGCTTAGACCTGTTTCTATTTTTCTATTTTTTTGCCCTTTCGCTTCATATTTTTTCTGAAAAAAATCCGAGAACCAACAATTTGAAAGTAACTTGGTGTGGCCTTACAAGAATCTGACAGACAAGACAGATCCTGTACCTGAGAATCTCCCTCTCAGAGAACTCATTATACCGGCGCAGGTGGTCCCTGTCCAGCCTCCTACAGGAAACAGAACAAGGACAACTTTATTTCACAACAAGTGTAGTGGGTACAATGTATGGCAGCATCTACAGATTGAATTGTTATATAGTTATAGGTATTGCTAATATTATAGTTACAGTACTAACAGTTCTAAGATGTCTACTAGTCTATTCTTATCGATAACAATAAAGACACCCTCACTATACTACTCTAGCTCTAATGATCAAATCAAATGAAAATTTAATAAAATGATCATAATAACGTGATATTGCATCAGGAATGTATTATACCAGCTCATTGTCTCAGCGAGTTGTGGCCTACATGTACATAGTATGAACACTCAGGGCATTAGAATAGCATATATCAAATATCTGTTTTTGTATGAGGTAGTATTATGTCGGTCTTATATGCAATTTTATAGACTCTTCTTATTGGTCTTCATCGTAAGTTGGACAATCTACTGTGCTACTAGGCCCCGTTAAATCTACTTATTATTGTTTTGATTCTCATGTATATACAGTATCACTGTTTTGTATTTTTTTATACACATTTTCTATTTATATGTTGGCATGGTCACCTTGAAAAGGTGTACTGGTAAGGGTGTCCACCATACCTTTCATGTACATAATGTATGTGGAGAATTATAATAAATAAATAAATCTATTATAAAATGACACCTTGGCTGGTGTGTTATTGAGGCAGCAATTAATTAATTTGATTAATAAGATTGATTGAACACTCAGACACACATGTACACGTCCATTCATAGTCTACTCTTACACTAAATTACAGTACTGTAACATATGAGAGAAATTAGAAGACCTGTGACTTACTTGTCCTCTACCAACAATTTCTCAATTTTGTTGGCTAATTCCTCATCAATTCCCAGCAGGTCCTAGAAAAACACAACAAATCAGTTACTGGTGCCACCATGTACATGTACATGACATGGTAGTAAACAGATTGTTACATGGTACATTCCCCAACCCGGGATTTTGCGGTGAGAGTGCCAAATCCTAACCACTAGCTATATAGGGAGCCAGTGAAACACCAGGAGTACAAACAAGAAAACCCCTCACTCCCAGGATGCTGGAAATCAAACCTGGGCAGCTAGCTTAAGACACCAGCACACTAACCACTACTCCAAAAGGTCCAGGACCTGTCAGACGAGTCAGTTGCTACCACTTGAAACCCTCCTGTTGTACACAATTGTACAGTCCAGCACAAAAATACATGATTGTATGTCACACATACATGTAGACAGTAGTGCTATGTACCTAAGCCCACATTTAGGTTCAGGTCCGGATTCAAGTCCAGAGGTTTAGGTTCAGTTCCGGACTCGTATGTCCGGACCTTAACCCTTGGCAACTACAAAATTGCATGTTGGCAACCTTGCAATGTTGTTTGGACAAAACTTTGGCCACATAACATGGAGGCCGACAATTGACGATGCCCGATGGCAATGTTTTCTTCATTTTGCAGCACAGATTTTGCAATGTATGGAAGGTTTTAGGTGGTTTGGAAAGAAAAGGGGTATGTGCCATGTTTTTTTTTATTTGTTTATTAACAAGTCTGGAATCGGTTCTTGACCTATAGGTTTTTTTTGGACTTGAACCTAAACATTTTTACAAGTCCAGAACCAGTCCAGCGAAGCAGTACGCAGCACTAGTCACACATGGTGCTTTACCTGTGCGTATGGTCCTGCACATGCACAGCCACCCCGGGCCTGGATGCCGAACAGGTCGTTGAGGAGAACACAGATGTAGTTGTGGTGCAGGAAGAGTCCAGACTGCTGGTGCTGCACCATGAAGGACAGGATGGGCAGACGCTGCACCTCAGTACTGCCCAGCACAACCAGGCTGGGATTTCCCGACCAGAAGTCAAAAGCTTTTCTGGACAGACAAACACACCGAAGTTAGGCAAGTAATTTTTATGGATGACATCAGCGCACGCATAAATTTTCGCCTGATTTTGGAAAAAAAAATTTTGTTGCCTTCTGACAGTGGTCAACATGCCGAAAATGGGCAAAGATGTCTGTTGGCATGCTGGAAGGTGGATGGCAGATAACATTGAAGAGAGGAGACAAGAAAAGGCTCTGGTTTAATGTTTTGTTTTTAATTTGATGCAGTGATTATCATGTGATGCTGGCTGTGTATATTGTGATGTTCCCACTGAATCAAAACCATTTGTATAATGATTGGGTCAAAATTTTAAAATGTAGGAACCTTTTTTTTTTGGCCCACCTTGGTTTTTTTTCGCCCGCTCGCTTTAGATTTGGAGTCTGCGGAGGATGTCATCCATAAAATTTACTTGCTGTGGCCTTACTTGTAGACTTATCAGCAATACACACTACAAGCTGACATAAGGTACATATCAACTCTACAACAGTTAAAAGCTGCCCTTTGTCCTCCAGTCCAGTTAACATTAGACGACTTTGATTTATGGACATGCTTTTGTTTTGACGCATTATGATTTTATTTGCTGTAAGTTGTTGTCTACCTTTTCTTGCTTGACTCATCTAAATGTTTTTACTAATCATGTTTTGTCCTGTGTAAATGTATGATGGGCCCCATTAATTGGAAGGCAGCTTTTAGTAATACTATGTGAATGGGCTACCAAGCCGTTTTGTGATGAAATAAATAAATAAACGTAAGTACAGGACTGTAGAAGGATCTAAAGGCATGAATCCTGTGTATTTTTGATGCTGTCAGTTGCTCATGAGAACCATTCTTTGAGTGGTATACCCCAACTGGTTTGTATATATTAAGCAAAATCGCTATAAACTAAATCCTTCATGTTTTAGTTAGTTTCCACAATGTCAGAAAAGACTTACTTGCAGAGCTCTTGCTCCCTTCTCATGATGAAGTCTGAACCTAGGGCCTGTAACATGGAAATTAGTTAATGAAATGGACTGAGTGTGTGTTCCTCTTCAAAATACACAGACAAAATGTATTACTAGGAGGATTTTCCCATATATACATGAATGTCAACATAAGAGGAACCTGCATTTCTGCTCTGGTCTCTCAGTCACTGACGAAAGCTAGAGGATACTACATGGTACTGAAACGTCTGACCGTTTCCAAAATCATATCTAGTTGCTTGTCAATGAGTAACTGCTTTTTGTGTAATCTTATTACCAGGTAACCTGGATGTTTAACCTTCATCGGCGAATTAGTTCACCTTCATTCCCTGTTTACCTACATTCGTTCTTTTTACACAAGGTGTACTGAGGAATGAGGGAGATGTGCTAATCAGTAAATACATGTACCTATAGAATTGCAAAGTTTAACTTAGTTTTCAGAACACTGCTTAAAAGCTATGATAACCATGCTTTTGAAGACAAAGATTGCACCATGTACATGTATGGGAGATTACAATGTGTTACAGTTTTGTTTTCTGGAACATCCACTTTCAGCTCAACACAATTATTCAAAAGACAACTAATGTCAGATCAATTTAATTTGTTGGTTCTCAGAGATTCTCAGATTACACACACACACACACGCACGAAAACATAACCTTCTCGTCTTGACTGTTGAACAGTCCGTTCTTTAGAAACTTGCTCCCCCCCTCCCATGGGCAGACAAGTAACAGGCACACAAGACATTGTAACGATCTAGACACAATCAGAACTAGAACTGAAAGATTTAGAAACAGTAGCATACCTTTCCTTGTAAGACTACTGAACAAAAACAACAATCTGTCATGACACGGTATATGCTATTGTAAATACTTTTAACAATTTTGCTGTTTTTAACCGCTTGATTATGATCGCCACCTATTGTGAATACTTTTAATAATTGTTGTTTTTAACTGTCTTTAATAATCGCTTTTAATATTTGTGCCAACCGTTTTTAACAATTTGTGTAATGCAGCAGATCAATTCAGGGCCCTGTGGGGACCCTGCTACTCTGTACCGTATAGTATGAAAGAAATAAACCAGTATTACTACCTGTTTTGTTTATTTAGAATCTTTTCCGTAAATCGTTAAACATTTTTCTTCATTGATGAAGAGTGTTGGACAGACGGTTGAAATGTCTAATAAACTGTTATATCCAGTGGTAAAGTTTGAAACGCAATAATTATTTTTCTTCTTGTCAAAGATATTCTTTGTCAGCTAGTGTTGGTTCAGTCAACAGTTTTCATAGAAAGTTCTAACGTGAAGCGAAAGACACAGTCACCTCTTTGAGTTGGAAGACCAGCCCTGCTCGGATAGACTCCACAATGGCAGGAGTTCCACCCTCCTCACGGGTCTCCACATTCTGCAGGTATCGATGGGTCTCTCTGGAAACCTGAAATATGGAACATTACACACCTTATTAATAATAATTACACATGACACATATTTGGAAAGGCCCTGAATGTACCCCTTAAAACGTGCATGTCAGTTTTGTGTAAACTTCAAGCGGATTTTCTAACAAATCAAGAGGTCCTGGGTTCGAGTCCTGACATGCCACCGATCTTGTGCCCTTGGGAAAGGCACTTAACATGACTTTCCCCACTAGACTCAAGTGAAAATGAGTATTGTCCGTCCTGTATTTGTTTTCTATGTGCGGGACACAACACCAGCAACAGCTGCCTCTGTTCCGCATGTATAATTGCATTGTTGCAATTTCAATGAATCAAATCAACCAAAAATCGCTAACGTTTATGGCAAAGGTAAAAAGTCGTACTTACAAAGAAGACAGAACCCCCTCCACAGCCAGAAGGGACAGGATTTTGGAACAATGACTTCTTGGCAATCAGAACACCTGAAGGTACAAAGATAATATTCTATTAAAATGTATGAAAACAGTTTACTTTCACCCCTGCGGCGGCTTTCCTTGGTACTGCAGCAGAACTGCCGATTTTGATATCTCATGAACTGGTCATGCTAGGGTCACTACAGTAATTTTGCACATGGTAGGGCTCTTGCTCTCCAGAAGAAGGGACATGTTTAGTCCCCTAGCAGCTTATTGTGGAACTCCAATGTGGAGCGATTGTTGAAAATTTTTCGAGAACTGGTTGAGAGATTGTCATGATTTTTGGTATGTAGGTATATAGCTGAAGTAATGTTTGACATGATTACTAGATAACAATTAATGTAAATTAGGATCTAGTTTGCAAAATCAATGAGAAAATGTATTATCATTATAATAATTCATCAGTTTGAAGGGTTAACATCATTTGGTGAAGGTACAACTGTATGAGGTCGTGGAATTCTGACTTGTTTTGTATCAAAGAATGTTTAGACCTTTAAGTTAGAACAAGTGTGAGTTAATTCATTATTATTTCTATAGTCTTGTAGGTACTACTAGGGTCAGTTTTTTTGTACCCATGTGTCTGTCTGTATGTCTAGTTTAAGACCTTATGAAAGTCACTGTACTTTTGTTGTGTCAACAAAGTTCTTTTTTCCTGTATTAAGTTGTTTAGTAAGCTCACCTGGGGTTCCAGGTCCCCCTACAAACTTATGTGGAGATATGATGACAGCGTCCTTGTGACTTAGCCCTTGATCAGCACTGTAAAACACAGGACTTCATTTGTCAGGCATACTGGGGTAGCAATAGCATAGCATAGCAAGACCTTGTTTATTTATATTTACCGAAGGAAAACATATTGTTTTTGCTCCGCTTCTTCCAAACAGTGACCTATGACCTGACCAATGAAATGATTTGTTCAACTTGACGTCTGTCACCATGGTGACTGGTATTGGGTTACATAATGTTGCAATTTCATGGTCTGCTCTACTCCTGTCACCACATACTAGTAAGTACATGTATGTGAATGTAGTAAGAATTAACAGGGCAGACCATGTCCAAAGGTAAACATTATGCATTTGCTTTGCAAATGTTACTTCTCTAGTTTGTTTATTAATTTAAATGTAATAATAATGGCATATAAAAATATATGTACCTGGACACAACTGGGTTCATATCAATGTCCACATATGGCCCTGGAAGAGAAATAAAAAGTTTTTATCACTTATGTATACACATCAGAACTTTGGCATGCAAGTATGAATGTCATGAACATAATGTGCTATTGGCAGCAACACAGAAACAGAATTTTTTGCAAGGGAAGCAATTATATACATGTGTACAACAGGGCCTGAAACCTTCCAAACAATTGTAAGAGGTACAAAGCAATGTACAATGATATCTATTGCTATAATATAACAAACATACATGTACAATGAGACTTACATATGTATCTACCTCATAAAGTATAATGTAGTATGGGATGAGAATGTGTTTTAAACTAGTCTCAAGAGCAGAAGTGATTTTTCTGGTTCTGTAGATTTTCTGATTTTCCAAAAAGGACCTCCATTTAATGGCCTTTATTTCCAAGGGAGGTCCCTAACTGAAGCTATGTGTGTTTCCTATGGTCACAACATTGGGGCATATAGGTGGAATCGAACCCAGTACCCATGGCATAGGTTTCCGGCCAAATACCCTTAGCATTACGCTTGAGGGGTGCCAAAGAATTCATCAGAATTTTACGGAATTCATACGATCCTTACTAGGAAACATACGAAGTTTATGGAAAACATAGAAACGTAAGGATTTAAATTTACGGAATACAGTCATGGATCGTATGTATTCCGTAAACTTCGTATGTTTCCTAGTAAGGATTGTATGAATTCCGTAAACTTCTGATTAATTTTTTGGCACCCCCGTATTTTTAAGTTACAACTAAGTTCCAATGTACAGTCAAGCCTTTTGGATAAGGCTGTTCCTACCTGCAGATGCATAGTCCCACACAGCGATAGCACCATACTTGTGCAGGAGGACAGATGTTTGAACTGTGTCCGTCAGGATGCCAGTAACGTTGGACGCTGCACTGAACGCACCAATCAGCTGACAGCCACATGACTGCCAGGCCTGGGGGAACAAAGTTTAAAGCAACATGGACAATGTCAGGACAGGACAGACCATGTACATATTTTTTAGCGCATGTACCCTAGCCTTTTTTCTGTGTGGACCCCTGCAAGGGACATAAATTTTTAGAGCTGAGTGATGTTTTCTAGCTCGGTGATCTGACACCAGAGTGAAACAATCAGTTTGTATATACAATCAGTTTTCCAACATTGACATTGAAAATATAAGTGTCATCATGCACGTTTTACTTTGTTAAACTGTATTGGATCACATGTTGAATCACTAGAAATTGTCAAAGTCTAAAAAAAAGAAAAGAAAAAAAAGATAATCCCTACTTACCAAATGCTATTTTTTTTAAGACTGAAACAGGACACACAAAAAATTTTTTTCCTAGGCCTAAACCTAGGTTAAATTGCCTTACCTGTTGTAGAAACAGGGCTCTGTATTAGACATACATTTTGGAAAAAATTGTGTTATCTAATTTGTATATCCAGGATCAGTATTGTAACTATGTCAGATGATATTCTAAAATTCATACCTTGAGCTTAGCTTCCAGGTCTTCAAGATCAAGCAGCCCTTTGTTGGTCTCTGCAATTCGCATCACCTGCAAAGACAAGAATTGAAAATTTTTACTGGAAAGACATTTGCTTGGGAACAAAATTAATATAACAGTATTTCATCTCAATCCTCATTCCAAAATGGACAGTTCCAAATCAATCTTTTCCATGTAGTGCTCTTCAATATCATTAGTGTTTTCCAAAATGGACTGTTCCATAATCAACCTTTCCCATGTACTATGATGTACTGCTCGTCAATACCCCTAAGTAGTCTCCAAATTGGAGACTATACTTGGGGGTATTGACAAGCACTACCCAAACAGTACTTTGCAGTAAAATATTCTCAAAATGCCATACAGTGCTTTTCAGTAAAATGTTCTCGAAAACCACATACAGTGCTATTCAGTAACAAGTATTCTCAAAACCCCCATGTAGTCCTCCAAACCCCCAAACGGTGGTTCCAATGATCACCCCATCATTAATGAATTAAATGTTCACACTTTTGACACTTACCCTGGATCCAATTTCCCTCCATGGCAGCAGATTAGAATGATGCTCAAAGGGGCCAACAAACACAACCTGGCAAACAATAGGAATGGAAAAAAATTGTAATAATATTATTGCTTGATACGAAATTTCCTGTATACATGAAGTTAAGAAGGGGAGAGCCTGGCACATGACTTTGTGTAGACAGCCTGCACACTACTTTGGCCTCTCCATAGCCCATACTACAATAGAAAAATCATTCATATATTGATAGACACTAAGACAGCTAGTTTTAAGTCACTTCAAAGCTATATTCTACAATGATTAAAAAATTGAATCCTATATAGTAGCCAGCGTGCAAGGATCAGGGCCTAAGTGAGGGGGCCTGTGGAATAATTTACCTGGCATGTTGGCCCTGGAGCTGAGAACCTGGCCTGTGTAAGGCCTGGAAACAGTCTGGTTCACAGACTATATTATACAGAATACAACACGGTGTATTCCGTATCGCCCGAGGTACCAGCCCGACCGCGGGTCGGATCTGATTCGCGTGAGGGCTGGGAGTCTGGGACCGAGGGTGATGCGGAATACACTGTGTTGTATTTTATTTGTGTCATACTCACCTGAGAAAACAGACATTTCAATGCGAAATGTGCCAAAATTTGGTGTATCTAAACAAAAGGTGTAACGGTGTCAATTCCAACATCCAAATTCGGTGTTCGAGGTTTTGAAAGCGGTGCATGCGGTTAGGGCAAAACGCGTTCGAATCGTTCTATGGAACATTTGGAATCCCGGGCCGTACGCGTTAAGAATCCCCGGGCCGTACTGCTAGTTATCACATGGGCCGGAACACCCGTATCGAACGTAATCGCGGCCAGGGTATGACATAAATATATACATGTATGCATCACACCTGTGTGATATATATGTACAAGTACAGTTTGTTTATTAAGGCAACACCAATTTAATTTCTTGGTTAACGGATTTTTCTAGAAAAATAATGGAGCGGGCGGGCGAAGAAAAAATAAAAATAAAAACAGGCCTAGGCATCGTATTATGGCCCAAAATGGTACGATAGGAGCCATGAAGTCAACACACCAGGCTGGTTCAAAATTTAAACAATGAATTAAATTTTTTGAACTTTTAATGATACCATTGCATTGAAAGATGGAATAACTGTAACAACTAGGATGAAAAGGACTGTTTTCAACTGTTCAGGGCAAAATATGAGCATTTTGCAGTTGATTCTGCATTTTTATTTTTATTTGCAAATCAGAAAAAAATGAAGCGGCGAATCCGTTAACCAAGAAATTAAATTGGTGTGGCCTAATTTTGTTTAAGTTCTCACCGGAGGTTCCTTCATGTGCAGAGAGTGGATGAGTTTGTGGATGGCTCCGGTACAGCCGCTGCCCACAAAGATGACAGCATCATGCTCACCTGCATTCACTGCATTACGGATGATGTCTCTGCCAGAAATATCATCAAATTGTGAAGGAAAAGTAAGGCCACAGCAAGTAAATTTTATGGATGACATCCTCAGCAGACTCCAAATCTTATGCGAGCAGGAAAAAAAAACAAGGCAGGCCGAAAAAAACAAGGTTCCTACATTTTAAAATTTTGGCTTAATCATTGTACAAAATGGTTTTAATTCAGTGGGAACATTACATATACAAAGCCAACATCACATATCACTGCATCAAAGTAAGAAACAAAATACTAGTATTAAATCAGAGCCTTTTCTTGTCTCCTCTCTTCATAGTTATCTGCCATCCACCTTGCGGCAAGGCAACAGACATCTTTGCCCATTTTCGGCATGTTGACCACTGTCAGAAGGCAACAAAATTTCTTGTTTTTTTTTTTTTCAACATCAGGCGAAAATTAATGCGCGCTCTGATGTCATCCATAAAAAATTAATTACTGTGATCTAATCACCAGTCCTCTGCAGATGAATATACCTGATAGGCCATAATTCCTTCTTCTTAAATTTCAGTCTTAAATGAAATCATTTCATCCTACAGCTGCCTTTATCACCAGACCTTCCTACTTTCAATTGTATTCAATAACATATTTATATTCACCAACTTATCCAATATCATACATGATTGTGTACTTACCTTGCTTCATGCCTGTACAGAGTTGTCTGTAGTGAAGTCACACTGGTGGTGGTATGAGTGTTTCCATAGACTGGCAAAACCTGATCTCGAATGTAGTCCTCAATGAAAGTCAGTGATCTGAGGGGAAAATAACGTTTCGGATGGTTCAATTTGTGTCTCTTCAGAGCCGTCAGAAAGTCAGAAAAGTTGGCTGAAGCAAATTTTAAAGTGTATTAATATCAAAAATCCAATTTCAAGGATATTTAGCTGTCAATGTATTTCTAGGTCTCGTTCATTTAGCGTTCATTTACTCAGTCAAGATATTTGATTCAGAGCTTGAAGCTCGACCTTTTTCTGCATACCTGCACCAAATTTTATGAGAATCCATCCATAGCTTCTTGAGTTATCATAATACACTACATACAAACAGTACCCACAAAATTGAACATAATTACAAAAACATGTACACGACGTGACTACTGTAAGTTATGCCGTGTTTTATCTTCGTACAAGCCAAGCACAATTTGGGTGGTCAATAGATTCAGTGCCAGTTGGCTTATTATATTTAATGAGGTGAATCATGACCTGGTGAGTCTGCACATTATAGTAATGACTGATTAGCGTCTTAATTTAAGGAGAAAATTATTGTGAGGCACGCTAGTACAGTTGGGACCGAGTTGCATTGTCAAAAACTCAACGCTTCAACAACTTCAGGGCCTGAAATACTGGGTGCATGTGCACTTTAGTGCACTCAAAATTAGAGCTGTGCGCCCAATTTTGTTCTGTGGGTGCACAAGTGCACCCAAATATTTTAAGAGGTTTACTTGTACTACATGTAATTACAAAGGTATTAAGTATATACATTTTTGTACTTCTACATGTAGCATATTCTTGTGACATTTAAGTGTCAGAAAAGTACGAAAATCTAGTTTGTTGTTGTACTTGTAGTATTTTTCTTTAGAAATGAAACACATTTAGTTTTTACTGATATTCTACTCAATTCTATTATTTTTTTTATATGGTGCACCTAAAAACAATTTTGTGCACCCAATTTTTTAGGTCGGGTGCACCAGTGCACCTATTCCCAAAATGAATTTCGAGCCCTGAGACTTGTATTCAGTGCTTTGAAATGAGAAAATGTTGGATCAGAATGTTAAAGCTGATTTCATAGGTGCACATGAGGTCGTTGACCCCAAGAATATTTAGTTTGGCAGCTTGCAGCTGCATGCTGTCCTTGAAAGGCATCTAATACTCAGCTTCATGCTAGAAACAAATTTTGAGACTTGTTGAAAGTTCATCTGTGTTGGTAGAAATCATACACGTGACTCCGTGAGCAGTGGATCATAGGTTGCAGAAAGTAAGAATCTTGGACACAGAACCGGACTTCTTTGAAAGAGGTATTAAAGAGGCCATCTACACCAGGGCATTACAACCATCCCTCAACAGAGACGGGGGGCGCCACAGACTTTCTGCAACCTATGATCCACTGCTCACGGAGTCACGTGTGTTATCTGCGTGACGTAACAGAAGCGGTGGATTGCTCACTCCTTGACAAAGACTGGAGTTGTACAGTCCAATTTGTTGTGTTGGAAATTGCAGTTTAAACTTGGTTCATAAAAATTTAGAAACTGACAATAATCAGAGTATGAGCCATGCTTGTTGTAGATTAATCAACAACCTGAAGTTCCAGAAAGAGTATTTCAGTATTTTTTTTTAATGTTTTTTTTACCTTGTAAGCATTACATGAAGGTCATTTTGTTCAGGACACATCTGGTCAAGGTTAAGTAAGAAAATAACCTTTAAAGAACACCAAAACTGCCCTTTGAGATAAAGAATTGAGGGCCGGAGTAGAAAAAAATGTACACTACTCTCTAAATATGATAAATCATATATGGCACAATAATTGAGGATTAGGCAAATTGTACTTACCATGAAGGATAATCCCAATTATACCTCACACGAACTATTTGGGTATATCATTTACCTTATGCAGTATTTCCTATGCTTATCGCTAGGTGGCGCACGTGTACAAAGCTCTAATCGCAAAGCATCACGGGATATCATGACGTAATGACATTGTTCGCCGCCATTTGACGACGTGCGAGAAAAAAGTCTGTGCTGTTCACCACGGGTGGGCATTTTCAGCTACCTGGAAGCTGAAGAACAGCAAGGGTGGGAAGATATACCCAAATAGTTCGTGTGAGGTATAATTGGGATTATCCTTCATGGTAAGTACAATTTGCCTAATCCTCAATTATACCTGCACACTCCCTATTTGGGTATATCATTTACCTTATGCAGACTTCAGAGCCGTGGACAGCACAGCCTGGCCAAACGTGTGTTGGTTGTTGTCCCTCCTGTAGTACTTCAGGAAGGTAGACTCTCGTGACCAGTCCGCTGCCTTCATGATGCTATGTAGAGACACCCCGGCAGCTGCAGCAGCTGAAGTGGACGCTCCCCGAGTGGAGTGAGCTGAGAAAGTTGCTGTGTCAACACCTGCCGTGCCTAACACTGACTTAACCCACCTGGCCAGGGTCGCAGAACCAACTGGCCTGTGTGGTCTCCTGTACGATATGAACAACTTCTGCTCCCCCCCCCCTTCTTTCCGAAGGGAAGAAGTCCGCCTTAGATATTCCTTCAGGTATGTGAAGGCACACAAGCGCCTGTCCTGCGGGAAGGCCGCCCAAAAACACTTTCTGGCAGGTTTTCCTGGTCTAGAAGTTTTTAGCAGGGTAGGAATTGTCCAAGAAACACCGTTTCTACATTTTCTCATGAATCTCAAGTCGAGAGCCGCTAAGGTTTGACCTCTGTCGGCTGACACCAATGCCGCTAGTGTTACCAACTTATGAGACAATTGTTTCAAACTAAGACTATTAGCTGGGCAACAATGCAGAAGGTACTCTAGGACCCGACTGACGTCCCATGTTGAAACATATCTTGGACAAGGAGGACGTTTGTGAAACACACCTCTCATCAGTTTGGACACTAGAGGGTGACTACCCACATTACAATGGTCTACTGGTAAGTGTACAGACGAGATCGCAGAACGAGCCACCCCAATTGACATATAGCTGTAGTTCTGTCAGAACATCCATTCCAGATATTCTACTACGCTCTCTATAGAGCCGCAAACTGGATCAATCCTCCCTTCTATCACACCAGCTGGCCCACTGAGCCCATGCTGACTGATACTGTCTAGAAGTACTTTCCCTCCAAGCCGAGAGGATGAGGTCTGAAGCCCCTGCCGAAAGGCCCCGATCCTGCAACTGTCGCCTGATATTGGCCACGCGGCAAGCATCAGATCTGGCAACAGCGGATGGGGTCTCCTGTTGTGCGGCAGGAACAGCAGATCCCAGCTCTGTGGCAGGAGAACCGGACTCTCGAACAACATGTTCAACACCTTGGGGTACCAAGCCTGAGACTTCCAAACTGGAGCTATCAAAATCACTGTTGCTACGTCTGACTGGACCTTTCTCAGTACCTTGAACACTAGGCTGAAGCGGGGAAAGGCATGCGCTAGCCCCAGGTTGCCTCAGTGAATGTTTAGAGCATCCACTGCCATGGCCTCTGGTTCTGGGTGCCAAGAGACATACTCCTCCAGCTGAGCATTCAGACGAGACGCAAACAGATCTACTGTCAATGCATTGCCTGTCCAATTGTTCAATGACAGGAAAACTGAGCGGTTCAGTTGCCACTCGACCTTGTCCAGAAAAACCCGCGAACACCTGTCCGCTAGGGTGTTTGTCAATCCGGGAACGTGAGTTGCAGACAACATCAGGCCTCTTTCCAAGGCCCACGACCACATCTCCAGGGCCAAGGCTGCCAGATCTGGCGACCTTGTTCCCCCCATGTGATTCACATATGCAACGGCTGTTGTGTTGTCCAGCCTTAGCAGAACATGCTGAGTATCCGCGCTCACAAAGCTTCTTAGCGCCAGGAAGGCCGCTTTCAACTCTAGCCAATTGATGTGCATGCGCGCTTCCGTCTGTGACCAGCGCCCGCCTGTCTCCTGACCATTGCAATGCGCGCCCCATCCCTCCAGTGAGGCATCCGTGCAAATTGTCAGGTCTGACGGAACAAAGACTCGGCGACCGTTTACTTCGCGCACATGACTGATCCACCACTGTGGATCTTTTGCTGCATCTGGGGTTAGACTGACTGAAGAGTCGAATTTTCCCGGCTTCTTTATGCCGAAATTGAGAAGCTGTTGCAGAGCCCGGAAATGTAAGGGCCCGGGAAGAATGGCTTGCTTGGTGGACTCTAACAGCCCCACCACGCTGGCTAGCTGCCTGGTTCCTATCACCTCCTGTTCTAGAAGTGATTGGCAAGAACTCACTACCTTGTCTAACTTGTCTTCTGGTAGGTAAATTGTCAAAGTACGAGAATCGAGAACAAGGCCTAGGAAGGTCGCTACCTGAGACGGTATCAACTGCGACTTTTCCAGGTTGAGAACAAAACCGAGTTGCTCTAGAAGCTCTCTGGCTATAGCAATGTGCTCTAAGCACTGTTCCCTCGACCTTGCAATGATCAGTAAGTCGTCTAGGAAAATTACTATTAACAATCCTTGTCTCCTTAGAATGGCCACAATCGGTCGCAAAACCTTGGTAAATACCCTCGGCGCCGACGTCAGACCGAAGGGAAGACACTGAAATTCCCAAAGAACTCCTCTCCACGAAAAACGAAGGAATTTTCGATCGCTCTGAGCTATTGGGATGGTAAAGTACGCATCCTTTAGATCTATAGTTGCTAGAAAATCTCCTTTTTTCCACAACTCTTTGACTAGGTTTATCCCTTCGAACTTGCAAGTACGTTTCAGAACAAACTTGTTTAAAGACTTTAGGTTTATAACCGGTCTCCAGCCTCCCCGAGCTTTCGGGACTAGAAAAATCGTAGAAACATATTGGCCCTCGCAGGGCTCCACCTGGACCACTGCACCTTTCTCCAACATACTGTGCACTTCCTCGTCTACAACCTTTGCTCTGTCCTCCCCAGATATATTTGTGACCGGCTGAACGAACTGAACTGGAGTGGACTCCCATTCTATACGGTAACCCCGAACTGTTTGCAAAAGCCATCTGTCTGTTGAAATCTGTGAGTTTGAGGAGTACTTGTTGTAGCTATAGTTAAACTTTGAACGG